AGACGGACCAACCGTCAACAGCTGTCGGCTTGTTTGATGGCCAAAGTTTGGCAACAAGTTCAATTACTTTTCACCTGCCCCAAAAAACAAACACTTCGCAATTTGACTAAGACCTGACACGTGGTTTTCCCTTTTGTTCACTGAATCCTTCAGCAGTAGTTCTCGAAAAAAATTTATATATTTTATATAGAACTTTTCCTTTCTTTTCATTACATCAAGTGTTATTTTTACTCAAGACACCGGAAATAGCTTAGGACAAGATACAAATTAAGTTCTTGTATTGTATAAATATTCTTTTATATTTTGGAATCATTTGAATAAATGAAAACTAAACTAAAACTAAGCCGATGTTTATATACCCTTGCAGCTTGCAATTATAGGATCGAATCGATTTAATTTCATAATATCAATATTTTTATATGACAAATTTTCTAAAAATTAAAGCTTAAAAACATAACTGAGCCAACAAAGCAATAATTTTAATTTAGAAAGATTTCCTATGTTTTATTGGGGTACAAAACCTGCATATTCAACTTACAATTCATATTTATTGTTTTTTGCCAAAGCTGTCAAGATTGCTTATCAAAAATATATATGATTTATTCGGTCAGAAATGAAAGCGTTTAAAGATTCTGCCTAAAATTAAAAAACCCTGCAAGGGTATATCAATATAATACTATCCAAGTATTAGACATTTCTCACTTAGTTTTGTGTCAATACTCTGCTTTAACTCCACTTTCTCAATATCTAAAACTATATTTAGAAGACCCACCTTTCAGCTCTTATTTGCTTTCTATCCCATTTGAATTAATTTAGCTTTTCATTGACTGTTCAGCCCGTAATCCAATGCTGTAATTCACCCGCAAGCTCTGTGTAAATAAAATTTTACATACATATTTGCTAATGGTGTAGCAGGTGGAAGGGGTAGTAGCCTTCACAGCCTTAACCTGGCGAATCGATTTACGTGGCAAATCGAGACAATTGCAAGAATATACCTAATCCATGGCCAATATCCAGGTGTCATTGGAGATTAAGCCATGCCAAAGTGAAATGTCGCACAAAAAAATAGGGTAAATTGCTCGGCGAAACGTTTTTGCTAAATTAAGGCCAGCAATCCAACAATAATAGCATTCGAAGGCACTACCAAGGACGCGGGAGGACCGAAAAAGGAAATTGAATTGCATTCCAAATGCATTTGTCGCATTTGCAGATGTCGCTGGAAATGCAGTTCACCGGCAGCTTAAACCCGCTGGAACAGCTAGTTTATGGATTTTTCTGGGATTTATGACAGCTTAAACGAGGAAAATGGGGGAAAATACACGGGTATTCCACATATTCGAGTTGGGAGAAATCGATAGCTTTTCAATTCAACTGAAACGTTTGGTGAAGTTGGTAACAAGCATTTCCAGGAATTTGCAGAACCATTTTATATAAATTTTTTTTTGATTCCATAAAATAATATTCAATTAAGGAACTGAATCCCTCATTACACGGAATCAAACCAAAAAAGATATTTTTACCGCTTAAATTCAATTGAGATTTACTATACCATCAACGACTTTATAAAATGTTTCTGTTAAAAATAAAAATAAAAGTACATTATATAGAAGAGATACTTAACTCGTTGTTTTTTTTTACCCATTTCTATTTGATCATTACCTTAAATATAGCCGCATAAGCAGGTTAAACTTAATAGCCTCGCTTGACGGTAATGGCCCGGTTCAGGGAAACTCCGCCAGCGGGCCAAGAGCTAACCAAGTCAACACAAACAATCAAGTTAACGGGCAAAAAAATTACTGGAGATGCAAGATGCAGTATACACGGAGAAATATTCATTGCTTACCTTTTCCAAAGAAAAATTTATATCTTAGCATTATTACTGAAAAAATTTTTCAATTTAAATTTCCGTATTTGTCATACAACTACGACCCTAATATTATTTTTAAATTATTCGAAAGGGAAAAAGTATTATTTTGTAGGAATATTTCTATAAACTCTACCAATTTATCAAGTTAATAAAATAACAAGAGAGTTCCAAATAAAATTGGGAAACTAACTAAGAACTGAAGATTATATTTAGCACGAAGCTAAAATGAAAGAAAAATATTTGTTTCCTTTACAACTTATGATTTTTAATAATTTTGTTACCCACGTTCGATAAGAATAAAAATTCCCATTACGAACCGAGCTCAGAAAATATAGATTGTACCAGCAGGACGCAGGATCCGACCACCGGGTGAAAAGGCCATGTGCTGTGCATAAAAATGTTGTTTTTTTGTTCTGCTGTAAGTTTGCTCCGCACTGTTTATCCGGAGAAGTGAAAGTGGGCATTGGACGTGGGTGATATTGCATCCGGATGGTATCCGCTTTGCATATTAAAAATGCTGCCGGCGCACTCTTGCGGCTGGGCTGCGGCCTGGAGGGACTTGCTCCGATAATCCCCAGCTATTCTATGTAAATTGGGTTTTCTTTGTCGATGCAACAATGAGGCGGAGTTTCCTGAACCGAGGGCGTGGCCTAAAGTGCTGCCGTTAGCGGTGCAAGTCTGGTTTAGGCCCAGATAAAACACCAGCTGAATCCAATCAGGCAGGACTAGAGCCGGGCCGCTGGCAATCAAGTGGCAAACTGCTTCGTGGGGGTTCATTAAATTGTTAATGTGGTTGAGGTTTTTTTCGCATAGGAAGATCCGCTCCGCGGGGGAAGCCGTTTCAGACCAATTGAGCTAACACAAATTGAACAGCAAAATGCCATAAAATTAAATAAATCTATGACACGACGTAAGCAGATGCTTTCGCGTGACTTTAAAGTTGCTATATTGATGACTTTTAAAGCAATTTCTTCTGCTATTAGAATACGATTTTAAGACTTAAATGACACCCAAATATCCATTGTAAGAGTTAAACAAATTCGGTTAAAAATGCGTTTTTTATGAGTATGAATCGCGTTTTACTTAAACCGCTGAACCCTTGAAGATTTCCGGATAACCAACCACAAGCATATGTCTTTAGATGTACTCATCGATATCCTCTGGGTGGTGTGAGCATGGCAAGGATAATTGAATTTGGAGTGAAGCTGCTCCTTGTGGCAGTTATGAAATTTCTGGCCCGGCTTCCGCTGCCAGGGAACGGAAACAAAAGCTAAGAGCGTAGCTGGCGAAATGAAGTTACAAGTTTCAAGCGAGTGTGAGAGTGCGTCTGTCTCAGCTCGACTGGATGAATGCGATGCCAGTGGGATATGGATTGGGAGGTGGGTCATAAGGACGAGAACAAGGTGAGGGGATTCCTCGGAAGCAGAAATCAGTGATGCGAAGAAGCCTATTTGGCAAGGAAAAGGCAAGCTTTTGTACAATGTTGCCTTCATTTTTCAAAAATAAGATCTATATAAATTCTAATTCAATGTAAAAGAATCAATTTAATACTAAACCTTAACTATTTAAAGATATTATAATAGACTATCTTAAAAACTTTTACCTAAATTCTAACTAATTATTTTAATTTAGTTGCCCTTATATTATTAAACTATTTAAAAATAATTTACTTCACATTAAATTAATTAGAAAGGACATATCGGTTCGGAAAAGAGGCAACACTGGCACCACTTGAACAGATGCTTTCCATGTCTTGCAACCTCGGCAATGAATTTGCGATTCCGCTTCGCTGCTTTCGCCATCATGGTTAACCGCATCGTTGATTTAAGGGCGTGCCATGCGTGGGGTGATGTATTCCGCTCCTTCGTCCTTTGACGCGCGCGTCACAATTAAAAATGTGCAGCCGAATTCATTTGATTGGCACGAAGGAGGAATCAGGATAACCATCTTCCTTCCGCTGGCTGCAAGAGTGATATCTTCATGAATCAATATTGTACATATAATTTGTCTCTGTGTTCGGCTGATATTGCCAACGCTGATTTAAAAACTTTATTGAAATTAACATATTTGTAATACAGGCAAAGTTCAAATGAATTTTATAATCAAAAAGGTAAGCATAATACTCTTGAAACACTTAATATTATTAATACTTATTCTATTCCTTCTTCTATTCTTTTCTACCATTTTATCATTTAAATTTCATAAAATTTTTAGTTTGTGGATATGGGGCAAAAATTTGTAAAATCTTAGTTTTTAAATATTTACTTTAAGTTAAAAAGCTTTAATGGATGGTTTCGAACAGCGTAACAAACATGCGTATTGAGTTTAACATTTTAAAAATTAATTCTTGTACTTAGGTTTTGATAGTTATAACTTATTGGATATTGAAAAATATTTTTTCTATTTGACATTTTTTTCTAGTTGACATCAACAGTTAAAATATTCTCTATTTTTGATATACAGAGTTTAAAAGTACGACAAAATAAATTCTCCAAAGATTACGAATAAAATATTTGAATTTTTTGTACAAAATTTAAGCCTTTAAGGTTCCTTTGCTTTTTTGTATCAAAATTTTAGTAAATTGGAATTAGGAGTTTTTCCCAAAAGTATTCTGGAAAGTATCATGTAAGAATAATACACATGAACAAATTAAAAATCATTTAACGAAAATAGTAAGCCAGAACACAGAGAGCAAATTTGTAACTACACCGAGTTCGTGCTAAAGTCTTAAACGAATGCCAGGTGTTTAAATTTTGATGAAAATTAACGTTTTTTTTTTTTAGGACATACACAAATTTGATTTTTGAAAATGTAACTGATATGAAACGAACGACACAATACTTTTTGAAATATACCTGGAATACCCCCATTAACTGGTGTTTGGAATTTTTGGCTATTCGGTTATTTGGGCACACTAATTGTCGCAGCCGGAGTTGTTCCGTGTTTGTGACGACCTCTGACTTCTTCCCGCTGAGCTCCTACACCACCTTTATGCATAATTTGACCTATTTCGCTTGTATTTTTTTTCTGGCTTCAAACGTTTTTAATTTAAATTTAATATCGCATATCGATATTCAAAAGCAATTCACAATACAAATTTTAGTTTTTATATCGATATATCGATATTTTTATATTATCAACAACATACTTGCATAAAGAACAATTGCATTTACAATGGATTATGTTCACTCCGTTTGGAACTATTTCGCCTCGATCTGCAACTGTTGGCAGTGCACCGAGGACGCTGGTGCACAGGTAGGTAGCTGGCCCGAGTTCGCCAACAACTGAAAGTGTTTGTATTGCGTATTTCGCCCGCAGCCCAATGAGCCAAACGAGAGGACACACCTTTTGGTCGATCCAGTGAACCACAGTCCGGCACTCAGAAGGAGCAATTCCGATGGCCTCAGCAACGATTACGCCCACTCACTACCCAAGAAGGACGACCAGAACGCCCTCTCCAGACTGGTGCAGAACACGGCTATGTATGTAATCCATGTGTAGTTTGCCTTCTTGTATCTTCAAAGAACATCTTTTGCTTTTCAGAAACATGATTAACGTGGGGGCCATGGATTGTCACAGCTTGGAACACCAGGAGTACAACGACAGAATAAAGGTGTACTCGCAGCGATTGCATCAGCAGTGGAACAACGTTCAGCATCCGAGTATCACCATGAAAGGTTCAACTTTATTTCCTATTACTTGCTATAGTTTAATAACTTGTATTTGTTTCAATTTTAGGCCTCCTTAAAGATGTCCCCAGTCACCAATTCTATTTGTCTAAGCCCCTTTCTGTGGAGGACACAGCTCAAGTAAGTGTAAGCCGACATGTGCCATACATCAAGGAGGTGGAGGCGTAACTTAAAATATATGAAACTATAAACGAATTTTTTCTGCTTTATTGCAGATGAAACTCTTTACTGAGAAAGCACTCATCAGTGTTTCGCATATTCAGATCGACCACAAAGAGGCAGTGGTTGTGCCGTTTCGGATTCCCTGATTATCTTACTTTAAGTGAAATACAGTGATAAATTTATACAAAATCAAAAAGTATATTGGTACTAAGTAACCATTGAATTATCAGGTAGCCGATATATTTTTCATTCAGTGTACAGAGGATACAAATAAATACAATCTATATTCATACCTTACCCAGACTTATTTATAACACACACACATATATACATCGGAAATGTAAAATGTCTTTTGACTTAAATCATAAGTACTGGGTCTCTACCCGAAAAGAAATTTCCCAGCTTCTCAAGAAACAAAATCGCCTGAAGAAAATTGAGCCGCCCGAGGATAAGGCCATATCATTTAAAATATTCTCGGAACTATACGTATTGTACGTTGAACTGGTTAATAAATTAACCTTCATTTACCACAATACGTTCCAAGTACAAAAACGAGCGGTGGTACGCACTTTGGTCGAAAGTGCTACGCAGCAGTTAATGAAACTTAAGGATGAGCTGAAAGATCTGGAGATGAGCGAATATGTATACATAGACAAGGCATTGATCGCGCGGAAGCTGACGCCCCGCGACCTAGTTATATGGAGATCCCCACAGTTCCTATACCGAAGGCCCTTGGAAGTTCAAAATATACTTGCCGAAAACAAATTGTACATGAATGATGAGGAAAGAGAGGTGAAGGCTGCCAAGGATTGGGTGCCTGTGACTGAAGCTGTGAAACTAATTCAGGCACAAGAAAGGGCCCGTCGTGCACGCGTGTATAAGGCCAACATCAAGTATGATAAGAAGTTTCTGAAGGTCTACCAAAGAAGCAAAATCAATTATAAATTCACTTTCAAACCTGATCAAGCTATGAGTATTCCTGTCAAGAGGACAATTTTTTCAGCAGATTTCATCAAGTCCGACGAATCCTGTGAAGACTTACGAAGAAGGGATGATGCGGCAGATGGTGCAATGGAAGGTAAATAAAATAACTATTGAGATTAAGTTAACTATAGTTATAGTTCTCCCTCTATGGGTTTTTACAGTAAGGAAGTTTTCTTCTTTCCTGACTTAGAATATTTCTGTAAAATAAAATCATTAACATTCACATGATATAAATTAAGCTTAGATGTGTAGAGAATTAATAGCCTGGTTTTTTAGATGAAGAAAATCTAAATATACTGCGGAATAATGCTGCCTGCAAAATCCAAAGCCTGTGGAGGGGATACAAGACGAGGAAATTTGTTGAAATAAAGAAGAGGTTTAAAGAAGAACTATACGGCATGAAAAAGGTCAGAAAACTGAAACGACCAAACCACAAAGAAAACGAAATTGAGGATATGTACAAGAAGGAGATGCTTAAAAAGAAGCTGGATGAGGATTTTATTAAATTGATCAATGATGAGCGTACGCGAATCCTCCAGGTCCGTTGCCCATGGATGATGGAAGACATATCTGACCATATTCGAGCCTGGTTTAAGGAATTGTACGTTCTTTTTTCTAAGAAAACAAATAATGCCTTTCTGTTTTCAGCTATGACAAGACACAAGACTTTCACCCGTATCCCCCTCCAGTAAAACAAGGAACCGTATTAGTTGTCATCGACGAAACAATGGACCCAATAGAGTTTCAGCAATCCCTTGGCAAAAAGCCGATGACCAAGGAAGAAAAAAAGAAGAAACGAGAAAAAGAAAAACAGGATCAACGGAAAAAGAAGGCAAAGCTTAAATTAATGTTAATGAAAGAGGCCAAGCGCAGAAAGAAACTAAGAGATCAAGGAGTTATTGATATTGGCTATGAGTTAGCTTCAAGCCAGCCAATAAGTAAGCAATTTTTAAATTTTTTATACTATCACTAAAATAAAGACAACCCAAAATAAACAAAATTAAATACAATTTCTTCAGGATTTTTGAACTAAAGTGATTATAAATATTGCCTAACAACCCTAGTAAATATGGAAGAAACAATGGAAACATTTGCGAAAGACTGGAGAGATGTTGACGAATACCTTAACAAGAATCATGATCCAATCGTAGAATGGGTTAAAGAGGAGCAGCTGGCAAAAATACACCAGGAAGTTAGAGGATTGGTCGATGAGTATATGAGGTACAAAATTGCTGGAAAATAATTATTAATAATTGATAAATATGCTTAACATTTCTTGTATTTCAGGGTAGAATATGAACTGCTTCGCGAAGCTTTGGCTAAAGATAAAAATGAAAAATATAAACGTCAAAAAGTCAAGTATCCTAAAGAGAAAAAAAAGAAGAAAAAGAGGGTGCCCAAAGATATGACGGCTGATAGGACTCTGGAATCCTTGTTCCAAGAGTTAAAAGACGAAGGAATCATTGAAGATGTTGCTCGAAAAGACTTCGATGAATTTATTGCGGACTTTAACTTTGTGGCAGATGACACACGTGACGCAGATGGTTTGACGTAAGTATTTTTTATCATTTACAACTTTAAATTGTATATAAAACTTAACAATTTAATCTATTTTACTCTCAGTACATTGGGTCCAGCCAAAGGTGACATTAAAATGGTCATTCAAGAGTCAATGTTGGGAATGGGCGAATTCGACATTCCCAAACCAAAGTCAATTTTATTGATCGGACCTCTAAATAGCGGAAAGAAATTATTGTGTCAAATTATAGCATCGGAACTGAGTAACTAAATATTTTTATTTTATAATCTCTGTGGTTTAATCAATATTATTTTTATTTCAGACGCAGTTTTTATGAATCTCAGTCCCGAAAAAACATACAAATATGCTGATGATCTAAAATATTTCCTGCATGTTATCACGAAAGTTGCAAAGGCTTTTCAGCCTACTATCCTGTATATCGAGGAGGCACATCGCGTATTTTGGAAGAAAGTTCCGCCTGAATCCCGAGCCATTATGCCCAAACTCCTCGGGTCCTCCTTAAATAAAAAAATTTTAAAACCTTTAAAGAAACAAGATAAAATCGTACTCATCGGGACGAGCAACATGCCCTGGGCGGCCGCCGGAGGCATTAAAAAAGCGTTCCAAAAGGTCTTGCTAATACCAAAGTGCGACTATGGCACTAGCTTCCTGCTCTGGCTAGAACTGATGACTGAGAACGCACCAGAAGACATGAAGGAATACGCATATTCCGCACTGGCGAGAGTCTTGCAGGCATATACCTCTGGCGACATTACTGAGAATGTAAAGGAGACACTAAATGTCGAGCGTAAGATGCGACTTAAAACTGAAGCATTAGATCCCCACGAGTTCCTGGAATATTACCTATCCAAAAATGATCCGCCCATATTTCCTCCAGAACAGAAGGTGAGTTACTTGTTTTCAGCTTTCGTAAACTTTTCACAAATTTAAATATTTTTTAGCTCATGGATAAGTTTAACAAATGGTTTGGCAAATCCAACAGTCTACAAAAAGCGAGAAATAAATTTAACGCTGCTAAGTTAGCGAAAGCTAAAAAGAAATAAATGTAATGATTTATTTAAAATACACGTGTTTTAATCAGACAAGAATTTCTTGAGAAAATATAAATTATTAAATAAAACCGTTCACATTGTTAAAATATAAACCAGCGACACCACGACAACGCCTTACTATGCGTTACCTAAGAAATAAGGAAGGTAAAATGAATAAGAAATTAATAGAAACACTCGTGATAATAGTAAACTTTCTTTCTTTCCCTTACATGCCAAGCTCAAAATTGTTTGACAATAAATTTGTATCCATGGAATTTCTTTGCGAATAGGTTTAAAATAACCCAGAATTTGGTAGGAATCAGTTAAGAATTTTTATATCGGGCACATCTCAACCATATAACAATATATGAAATGAAGTTGATGGCCAATAACTTCCAGATATTTTTCTTATTCAACGATTCAAATATAGTCACTTTTTTTTATTGAAAATATATAACCAAAGTTTTTCCTATGGAAATAGTATATAACGAAATCAAGTATTTTGTGTAAAATGTAGTTCTTATATATATATTTAGCATGTCATTTAATTGTTGGTTTGTGGTTGTTGCGGTAAAAACTCCTCCAACTCAGAATCTTCAATTTCGCACAGTCGAACCGAAATATTGCTATTCGAGCCAATTTCTCCGACAGCACATGGAAATAGGTATGCCTCCTCTGAATTTTCTGAAAGAATAGAAAACAAATCCGACCTTGGGAAATTCGATCCCTTAAATGAATAGTTTCTTTATGTACTTACCACTTATCGTCCTTCTGGTTTTCATTTCCTTCCTTGAAATAGGCCCCTCGGTCATTGAGCTCTCACCATCCGTTTCGCTTGGAAAATGCATCGTAGGTAAATATGAATCAGGATGTCTTAAATATACTTTGCCTGTTAAGTAAATTAAAATGGGAATTTGTTAAATATTTTCAAGTTTTGTTAACAATATTTTAAGAAAAACTACTCATTATTTATGATTCATTATTTAAACCGTTTTGCTGCTTATGTGTAAAATAAAAAAATAAAATTTTTGGTCATTCGAAGTCAACATCACTTTAACAAGATAAGGAACAAGGAATTAATAATATTCATTGTAAATATGAAACTTACACGAATGACTAACTTTCGACGGTAAAGGCACTGATTGCATGAAATGAAGTTGTTAAGTATATTAGTCACAATAGCATTTTAGTGTTGGATAGATAAAATAATATATATTTAACCAATAAACAAAAAACATATATGTATAATTACTTGCTATTGTTACAAACAAAAATAACTTTATAATCTATTTCATATTGGTTTAATTAAGACCTCATAATAATAAGTAACGGCACACTTGTTTGATCAGTGCCTCCTCATACATGAATAAATATTATAGTTTGAAAAATTTTAATTTACAGAACTTCAAAAATATTTTTAAAAAATATTTTAAAACTCGAGGGAATAATAGTAGAGCATATAAAGAAAAAGTATTAAAAAATAAATATATTCAGATATTCATGATAAATAAATCTTATTGTTCTGCGGCTTGAAATGAAATTGCTAGTTTAAGTTAGTCTAATGTATACAATTTATAAACAAAACAATGTGTTTATGCACCTGAAGAAGAAGTGTATTTACCTGTATTTGATTTATAGTCTTCATTCTCGATATTATTAAAAGAACTCAGTCTTGAAAGCGGCTGATTATTTGATATCGGCAACATGAACGGCTCCAAACAGCTCTCTGCCTCCGAGTCTAGATATTCCGATCCGATATCCTCATTCAGTGCAGCTATATCCCTTGACGGATCAACACCTCCATCTTCCCCTAATGGGTGAAAGCGTTAGGAAAAAGCGGCTCACAGCTTAATTATTTCATATACTTACTGTGAACGAAAAACGCTTTCTTCGACTTGGACTCATTGCTGTCATTGCTATGTAAGCTAGACGAGTCCGCGATTTCGGCACCGGGAACCTCTGTGATATCTGGCAAGGGATTATGGCTTTTGCGAACCCAGTCGGAGCAGTCCCAATGATATTGGCCATTGGCAAGAGCCGAATAATCAACGAAATTCGCACTGGAAGAGTGGCACACGTTTGGCATTTCAACTTGGATCAATTTACCAGTCGAGAAGCGACTAACAGATGGTCCGAAGTCCCTCTTGAGTTCTGAAAGTTTAATAAGTTTTATTTTTAAACGCATTAGGATTTTAGGAGGTGCGCTTACCATTGTTCAGTTTATTTTCACTAAAGGTTCTCAGGTGCATCTGCTCACACCACTCCTGTTTGTAGGCGGTGTTATCTGCGTCGGCGGCGGAATGACAGGAGTTTATGTTGACGTGCTGCTTATTTCGATTGACCTTCTGATACTCAAATGGCACATTTTCAAGCTCATCGCCGGCTGAACCGTAGCTTCGGAGTATGTCTAAATTGTTGACAAAATTCCTATTACTTAGGAAGAGGTGGTTATCATTTGGCGCTGCTGTGTAGCTAATTGGACGCTGGTTGACTTCCAAATTGCTCAACTTAACGTTCGGCTTGCAATAATTGTCTTTATCGACCAGAGAGTTCAGATTCGCCTCCTTGTACGACGGCTTGCTCTTGTCCTTTTCAAGCCTATTCCTTCGCTTCGAGGAGGAACTCCTTCTAATAACCACACAGCAAAGAGCACAACTTATGACCACTAATACCACGGCTAAGCCAGATATAATTCCACTTATATGTTCCATAGAAAAGTTCTTCAACTTTGTGGAAATCGAATTCGAATACAGTGGATCTCCGCAGCTCGCTCCTGTGAGATACGATGGGCAAATGCACCGGAAGCTTCCAGGCTCATTAATACATGTGGCTCCGTTTCCGCAGGGCTGATTCTCGCATTCATCCACATCGATCTCGCAGGTGGGTCCTGTGTAGCCTCGGCACATACAGTGTGATATGCCATCGCCCTCCTCGCAAATACCGCCGTTCTTGCACGGATTCGGAGTGCAGAACTTTCCGTACTCGCACCTCTTTCCGGACAGATGAATCGGGCACGTGCAGCTGTAGTTATTGGGTCCATGATAATCGCACCGCCCTCCAAATAGGCACGGCCCCGAGGAGCACGGATCCAGATCAATCTCGCATTGTTTGCCCGAATATCTGGGCTGGCAGGCACACTCAAAGTCGGTAGCCCCGAGTTCCTTGCAGATACCGCTGTTGGAACATGGCTGTGATCCGCAAATCCCCAAAACAACCAGCACATTCGACGGATCGCACTTGAACTCGACATTCGTGAATCTCTTGAGGGCAGCTATCGTACTGCCTCCAGAAATGTACAGCGGTAACGATTCCTTGGCGATTTTGATGTTGGCCATGCAACCGATAAAGCCGCGCTGAATATCCTCATAGCCGATTATCGATGGATGCGGTCGAACCTCGGCGCCCACGAAGATATCATTTGACTGTATGTTCAGAATTCCATTCACACCGGGAGCGCTGCCGTGCGAGACGTGCTTGTTGTCCACCATTAGCTTGGCACTGTTGAGGGATCGCTCCAGGCTGATCACGTGCCACTCACCGTCCGAGATGTAAATGCTCGACACGCTTATGACGCCCTCGCCAGAACCCAGATCGAATCTGTACTGCACAGCCCCATTTATGATTTCCAGTATATTGTAATCCACCTTACCGCTGGCATATAACAGGGTTCCAGTTTGCTGCACGGTTCTTATTTGCAAAGAATACGAAAATTCGTTTTCCAGAGCGAATTTTGCCTTCATCTTGTTGATCTTATAGTGGGCATAGCTCTTGCCACCAAAGGAAACGGCCGTAAAAAGACCGAGATCACAGGATTCATTATTACACTTCGTTGACTTTCTCTCGCAGTATGTTCCCGAAAATCCCTTGGGGCATACGCACTGGTAACCCAGAACGGATCCAGATGGCAGGCAGATCCTTTGCGGAGAGCAGGGATCCGAGGAGCAGGCATTCACCGTCTCATTGCAATGCCTTCCATCGAATCCGGGCTTACAGACGCATCTGTTAACCTGACTGTACGAGGGAGCGGCAAAGCTTATAACATCCGTAAACGTGGTCGTTACGTTCTTCTTCAGAATCCGCAAGATTTGCTTGCATTCTCCATGAACACAAGCGTTTTGCTTACTCTGACAGCTGGATGGCAGTATTTCCTCGACCACCAAGTTGGTTTCGTTCTCAATCTCATTCTTTTTGTCAATCAGTGTCTGTCGGATTTCGTCGCTAGTGAAGAATTCGTCGGAATCGGGTATAATCTGCTGCTTTCGGACCGCAAACACCACATTCAAATTTGGGTCAACTGATCTAGCATGCCGCGTGGCAGTCGCAGAGTGCTTGGGAGCTTCCGTTTGCAGTGTGATCAAGATGACGTCCTTCTGGCGACATCGCATGATATTCCGAATGGAGCGCATAAAGGTCTTCCTGTGACTGAGCAGGAATTCAGATGCTGAAACTCTGCTGAAACGGATCACAACTGATTCCTTCAACATGTCGTTTGTTACTAGTTCCACATTGATCTTGACTATGGTGAAGACTTGGAATTTGCCATCGGAGACGGAGATATTCAGCTTGTAGAGACCAATGTCAAGGTTGGATATGGCATAGATTTTCCCCGATTTTGTGGAAATGTTGAACAATTTTGCATTTTGATACATGTCTTCGGGACCGGATATCAAGCTGAAGGTCAGTTCGTCGTACTTGTCTTGGTCAGTGGCATAAACTTTTCCAATAAATGCACCGGAGAAGTCGTCCTCGAATGAATTTATTGTTACTTCCAAGGGTGTGGCTATTGGTGGATATTGGCTTTCCTCAATTATTTTCACTACGACCCAAGCATCGGAGTACAGTGGCGGTGTGCCGTTGTCAAAAACGCGAACTTGAATCACGAATTCATCCTGCAAGTTGTGGTTGAACCGCGAGGCCGTACTGAGGGAGCCATCTTGCTCCAGGCGAAAGAGCCTTGCCTCATTCCCAGACCGAATATCGAATGTGTATGGCGTAGTATTGGGTGATTCGTCTGCGTCGGATATTTTGAATGTAAGGAATATATAGCCCAGTGGTCGGTTTTCCTGAAGCATAACGCTATAATTTGAACTGGAGAAGACGGGGGGATTGTCGTTTGTGTCCAAAATATTTATGTGCACTGGCACACTATTGCAGCGTTGAGGGGTTCCCTGGTCACAGGCTTGAATTTCTAAGCTATAGTGCGAAATTGTCTCGCGATCCAGTGGTCGTGATACACTTAATGTTCCGTTTTTAATATCGATCGAGAACTGGCCAATGTTATCGCCCTTTTCAATGCTGTAACTCACCAGACCATTGGTTCCAGAGTCTTCATCTGTGGCCTTGACATCTACAGCGATCTTCGATCCCACCGCAATATCTTCGTTTACATTTATGCGATACAAGTTCTGCAGAAACTTGGGGCTATTGTCATTAATATCCAGAACAGAAACATTGACATATGCATTATTGCTCAGAGGTGGCGTTCCCCCATCGATTGCTTGTATGGTCAGGAAGTAAAATTTCGACATTTCGTAATCCAACGTTGCGTTCAGGGACAACACACCCGTTGCAGAATCCATTTGGAACTTGCCCTGCTCATTGCCACTCATTATATAGTAGTGAATGTCCGCGTTCACACCAATGTCTATTGAGGCGGCATAGACAGTACAGACTTCGGTGTCATGGGTAGCATTTTCGAAAACTTTACAGGAATACTGTCGCATACTAAACTCGGGTGGATTATCATTGATGTCCAATATGTTTACAGCCACGGTGGCAATGGAATGCAACTTAGGTACGCCGCAGTCCTCTGCTTTGACGGTTAGGTTAAATAGAGAAATGGTTTCGCGATCAAGGTTCTTGTCCAGCTTAATAATACCGGTTGTTTTGGAAATTTGGAAATAGTCATGATTTTCGCCCATCAAAAAGTATTTGATTTGTCGATTGACACCGAAATCCCTATCCATTGCGTGCACCTTAGTGATCAGTGTATTTAGTTGAGCATCTTCCGGGACGCTAACCCTATACTGAGCCATCGAGAAAACGGGAGTATTATCGTTGATGTCATTTACTGTAACGATAATTTCGGAGAAGCATTCTTGCGAAAAGTCTTTTCCATCCTGGACATGAGCTACCAATTTGTACCTAGGCGTACTTTCTCGATCGAGTGCGTTGGCAACTTTTAGGATTCCACTATCCTTTCCAATGGTGAAGTCGTCAGCACCTTTGCCCGAGAGATAAAACCGAAGTTTGCTTTGCAAATCAAAGTCAACGGCTTTAATTTCAACTAGGACTGTTCCAATGGCGATCGATTCGTTAACTGCGATATGGTAGCGCGGCTTCAGGCAGTAAGGCATATTGTCATTGATGTCTTTTACGTCTATCTCTACGTTTGCTTTGGCAGTGAACTTTCCATCAGTGGCAATTATAGTTAGGTTGTAGAACACTAATTGCTCGCGATCTAATGGTTTGGCAATAAATAACTCTCCGCTTTTACCGATCTGAAACTGTGCCTGCTTGTCACCGGATACGATGAAAAAGTCCATCTCCTGCTTCTCGATATCCGGATCAATTAGAATTAGGTTGATCAAAACAGTTCCGGGAAGGGCGTTCTCGAAAACAGACAGTCTTTCAATAGGCAGTTTAAATGTAGGTGCGTTGTCATTGTAATCGACAATCTTGATTGTTACAGGTACTCTGGCATCATGTTTTGGGTGTCCATTATCCGCGGCAATTACCTTAAAATTATACTCAGATTGAACCTCTCGGTCTAAGGAGGTAAGCAGAGTTATCCAGCCAGTATAAATGTCAATGTCAAATATATTTTGAATGTTTTCGGTATCACCTTCTAGGTAGTAGCGAATATCGCCGTTTGGCCCACTGTCAGCATCTGTGGCCGACACTTTTACCAACGAAATAACCTTTTCACTGTTCTCTGCCACACTAGCACTGTAAAACGTATTGTCAAACTTGGGGTAATTGTCATTTTCATCTCTCACATCGATCAATACATCAGCATAAGCAAAAAGAACCGGAACGGTAGCTGTTTCCGCTACGACAATTAGATGGTGAGACTCTCTTTGCTCCCTGTCCAGCGTTTGCTGAAGGATTAGCTCTCCGTTATCCGATATCATGAAGTTGTCCTGTTCGGCTGCTATTGCATATTTAAATGTAAAGTTTCCGATAGTATGTAGTTTGGTTAGAACGGTTCCCGGTGGCGTAGATTCGATTATCTTAAGCAGAATTGAAGGCTTTTCGAATAGAGGAATGCTGCTCGCATCAGTGTCAATTATTTCGATTGAAACTGGTACTTCGGAATGAAACTTTGGTTCTCCATGATCGGAGGCACGAAGAAAGAACTGAAAAGAACCAACGCCAAGGGTTGCCGCATCTTGCTTGAGTAGAACATCTCCAGTATTCTCGTGAACTTCAATTACATCTATAGATGCTTTATCGATAGACTTTTCAACAATTTGGTAGCTGACAGATCCATTATCGTCTATATCATCGTCTTTTGCCTTTACCTAAAATAGAAATATATATTGATACACATCTTAAAAATAATGATTTTACTGCTAAGTTATAAATATATTTAAAAATTTACTCTGATAAAAAGGGTAAGGAATAGTTAGTTTAAGGCACAGAACTGCCCACGGTTACAAACACTATCTTCCAATCGTTCTATACCAATCGTTAAACTTCTTGGCACACCATTCCACGACAGTATTTCAGATTACAATACCCTGCTGATTCCCGGCGACGATATAATACATTTATTTTTTACACACACTTTTCGTAGCCCCTTTCTTAGATATAAATTAAGCCGAACTTACCGTTAAAATAGTTTTGTTTGCTTCGGCCGCTGTGCTTATAACAATTTTGTATTCCTTCAATAGGAAATATGGAACGTTATCATTGATATCAACAACCATGATCTTGACCGATGCGAATCCAAATTTACCGCCGCCATCAGATACCTTCACGAGGACCACATACTCAGCCCTTTTCTCACGATCAAACGTAACTCTTGAGGTAATCACACCCGTTGTTTGGTCAATAAGGAAGAACTTTTTCATTTCTTCAGAAACTATCTCATAATAAAGATTTGAATACGGGCCATAATCCGCATCGGATGCTTTCACCTGCAATAATACGTATATTATTGTAAAAGACAACCATAAATAATATTCATTAATACGCACCGTTATTATGTTATGGCCATGCAACTGATTTTCCGGAATTTTCGCCTCATATGCCATCTGATCAAACTGCGGACTATACATGTTTTCCGGTAGTAGTGATATTTTCAAACGTGCGTATGCGGTATGAACTCCATCCGAAACCGAAATATTTAAAACTGTGCTGCTTTTATCGGTGAAATTTAGCATGTTTTGTAGAGATATTACGCCAGTAAGTTTATCAATATTATACGTTTGCAGTTCATTTCCGTAGACGATTTTGTACTCGAGCGAATCAGTGTCGGAGATATCTTTGTCGTATGCCTTAGGTAAGGCAACAAACTGTCCACGAACGGCTGCTACGGATAGTTTGGTGAAGTACGATGGCTCGACAAAGCATGGAGGGTTATCATTCAAGTCTTTAACTGCAAAAATATACATAGAAAATGTAAGATATTATAAAATTGTGAAGATAATTCTATAGAATGAATTATTATTTAATTTCTTGTTCATACCTGTTATGAATATGTTCGATCTTGAGCTTAGTGATGGCGATCCATGGTCTTTTACATTAACAACAATGTGGTGGTATTTGATTTGCTCGTAGTCCAAAGGAGTCTTCAAGTACAGATTTCCATCTGTGACATCTATATAGAACAGGTCGGAGTTGTTTTGTCCATTAATTGATTCAATGTAATAGGAGAGTTTCGCATTGGCACCCGAGTCCTTGTCGGTTGCATTTATTTTTAAAATTTGTGTTCCAAATGAAGAATTCTCCGGAATGGTTATATTGTATAAATCACTCTCAATCTCTGGATAGCAGTCATTTACATCAATAATAGAGACAGATAGAACGACTTCGGCAAAAACTCCAGAAAGACTATCGGTTGCTCGAATTGAAACATCGTGGCTACTTTTTTCTTCATAATCCAGTTCGTTTACCACGAAAATTGATCCTGCAAGCAAGAGAAAATATTAAAACAACAATGCAATAAATTTTTTTACAAGTTACCTGTGTTGTAATCAATTTCGAACGATTGGTTTTCAGATGAAATTGTGTAAATAAGACTCCTTCCCAAGGGACTTTCGGCTTCAATGGATACGGACAGGGCCGAATACATTTCCACATCCTCTTTTACGCTCACAGTGTAAAACTGCTTCTCAAATATGGGCATGGAGCGGTCAATTACCTGAAAAATTACATTGTATTACCTGAACCAATTCTAGGCCTTGAGACTCACCTTAACCTGAAGTGGAGCTTCTGAAGAGCACGGAGTAATCGCACCATCATAAGCAGCAACAGTTAGTTCATAATGTCTATTATGACCTTCAACATGTTGTTTTATGGACAACTCTCCCGTCTTTCGATCCAGTTTGAACAATTCACCATTTCCCTTTTTCAACTCATAACGAACCTCGCCGTTCTCGGCACTATCCAAGTCGACAGCCTTGACCTGCATTATAATCGTACCTCTCGGGTCATCTATGGAAACAGTGGCATAATAGGGCATATTGACGAACAAGGGACAATTGTCATTTATGTCCAAGACGGATATGTATACGGAAGTAACTGCTCGGCGCACACTCGCATTCAGTCCGTCAAGTACTACAACGGACTTGGCTTCAACAAAAAGCCTGTACAAATCCTGTGCTTCACGATCGAAAATCACTCCTGTGGTTTTTAGAGCTCCTGAACTTATTCCGATATTGAACAACTGCGTTGGATTCAAGATTCTGTACTCGACATTTTCGTTCAGCGAGTTTCCAATCACATTAACAAGTCCGATTGTCGCCACCTTAGTGTTATTTTCGAATGCCGAAAATCTGTACGATTCTCTCTGAAATGCAAAGTTTGAATCCGCGGCAGAAACAATCCGTATCTTTACGATTAAAATGGCCGAGTATATTCCGTCAGAGGCACGAACATGCAAGTTATAATCATTGTGATCATTTTGATTGTTTAAAATTTCAAAATTCCTGCAAAAAGTTTTAATTATAGATATTTTGTATATTTTTTCGCAAGTGTTTCTATTTACCGTGTTGTCAAAATCCCAGTGTATTTGTCTATTTGAAAGCATTCATCGGAATTCCCATCCACAATGTCGAAGCGTAAGGTATCATTATCAGCATCCTTTGCATTAATTTGAGCAACGAACACGTTTTCAAAAGTTGGCAGGAACAGTGTTACATTAAGTTCTCTCTCGTTAAATACTGGCGGACAGTCGTTGACATTAATAACGCGTATTGTCACGTGAGCTGTTGTCGTGGAATGTAATTTGGGTTTGCCCATGTCACTAACCTAAAATAGATAATATTTTCTGATTAAATATTGCTAAGAATGTTGGTCCGACTATCCTTACAGTAACATCGAATGTATAGCTAGACTTCGTTTCATAATCCAAAAGTCTTAACAATTCTATAGCGCCAGTGGTCGAATCTATTTTAAACACTCTTTTAGCCAGATCGTTGTTTATATGGTATTCAACCATTCCATTTACTCCGACATCGGCATCCTTCACTTGTAATGTTAAATGACTAAAAAAAATAATAATTGTAATTGTATGCATTCCTTTTTTAGGAAACAAAATAATACTCACTCTTTTGTTGAATCATGTACTTTAAGTACATAAGATCCTACTTCGGCGGATTCAGATAAGACTCCCACATATTCATTTTGAACAAAATACGGAATATTATCGTTGTCGTCTAGGATATGTATTATTACGTTTTGGCAGGCGGACTCAGCTGCCATATTGGTACCTTTAACAGTAAGGTTAAATACCCTGGAAGAAAATAATAACTTAAAATAAGTTTCAAGTTATGACTCGCATTTGCTCACTTGATTAGTTCGTAGTCGATATTTCCGTTAATAACAATAACTCCCGTGGATGGGTTAATTCGAAAGCTGTCGTTTGCGTTGCCAGAAATAATATTAAAGAAAATGGATGAGGACGATCGAGCGGCGACTTGGGTTACAAAGGTTCCAATGCCAAGGTTTTCGAATATTTCAATGGCAATGTTGTTGGTCGAGAACTTTGGCGGGTCGTTCTCCGACATGGTGACAATTATGTGAACGGGTATTTGCGACGAGAGAGGAGGACTACCCATATCTACTGCCTTCACTTGAAGCATATACTCTTGGATCTTGTTAATGTTCAAGCTGCCGGCCAGCGTTATCACTCCAAAGATTGGGTCGATATCAAACACGCTTCCCACGTTCCCCGTTATTATCGAGTACTGGATCTCAGCATTGTGACCGCTGTCCCGATCGATGGCCCTCACTTCGGCCAGCTTGGAGCCCACCGCTGCACTCTCTGGGACCTTGCTTTGAATTATTTTCGACGTGAATTCCGGATGATGGTCGTTATGGTCATGGACATTTACAATGATTTTGGCGTAGTTTCTTTTTCCAGGAGCGCCTTGATCTTTGACAAAGACAATCAGAATGTGTTGGGCGGTCTTCTCAAAGTCCAATCTTTGCGTGACAATTACATTTCCACTGATGGAATCGATCCGAAACAAGGCCAGGGATGACGGATCCTGTGTGGCATGTAGGTGATAGAATAGCTTCTTATCTTCGTCCCTATCAGTTGCGTGCAGCTGCATAATAATGGATTCCTCTTCAATATTTTCCGATATATTCACATGGTACACATCCTTTGCGAACTGCGGCGTGTTATCATTGATATCAATAACTTGAACCAGGAGATTAGTAAACGATGTGAATGTCCCATCAGTCACACTTATAGTTAGATTATAAGACTTTTTTGTTTCATAGTCCAGATACTTGGAAAGCAAAATGTTTCCGTTGTCTTGGCCAATATAAAAAGTGTTGTCTTCATTGCCACCTACAAAAAAAAAAGATTTTATAGGACGTGGATAGAAGAGCTTCTTATAATAAAAGATAAATGCTAACGTGAAACAAAGAAATTCTTAAATATTACACTAAAACATTGGCTGTACTTACTGGAAATGTTGTACCATAGTTGGTCGTTGTCGTCATCGACAGCCAGCACTTGAGTCACCAAGAAGCCTGGCTTATCATTCTCCGTGAGATCAACGACAGCGTTTTCAGTAGACTTCTTTACTATCAAGGGTGCCGCCTGCGAGTTGGGATTAACAGGAACTACAACTATATTAACTCGGGCGGTTTGACTCTTTTTCGGAATCCCGTTGTCTTCAGCTTTTATGTGAATTTCAAACTCATTGTCGGACTCCAATGGTTTAGCTATATATATGTGTCCCCTCTGGCTATCGATCCGAAACTTATTTTTACCCTTTCCTGACTTGATAGAATATGAAATACGTCCATTTTCGCCATCATCGTTGTCAATAGCGTGGACCTGTTAAGTATTATTAAACTTAATTTTGGATTTGCAATGGTAAATATAAATTATTAATTACTTGAAATATGGACTGATTCACAACGGCTGAAGATGGAACTTGGACTTTGTAAACCCGTTGGTCAAACTCCGGACTATTATCGTTAATATCCAGGACTGATACAACGATTCTCGAAGTAGATGATAGCACAGGGGATCCATTATCTGATATACCAACCTGAGAATTAAGTGGTTAATGAAGCACTAAATATTTAATATAGCATTATATATTTTATTACCTCCAAAATGTGTTCCGCCTGATTTTCTCTATCCAATTTGCGCTCTGTGGTCTTAATTACTCCTAATAATAAAAATTAACCAAATAAACATGAAATTAATACTACGTTTAGACATCATACAATCGATCTTTACCTGTTTTTGAGTCAATTTCAAAGTAGCCGACCAGGTTTCCAGATACAATACTGTAGGTAATAAACTGTGCAGGATCAATATCTGGATCTACGGCATTCAGGGTAATGATCTCGACGTTCTCCTCACTCGCTTCCGTAACATTTACATAGTAAACTGGCTTGCTCGTCAGCGGTATGTTATCGTTTTCGTTCTCGACTTCGATATAAACCTAGGTATGATACATTTTTAACAATGAACTCGATGCACTGAATGCACACTTACTTCAACACAATTGCTAAGTGGAACAATGGCACTGTCCTGGGCACATAGTGTCAGCCAATAGAAGGATTTCGACTCCGTATCAAGTTGCGATAAGGAAGTTATTGAACCTGAAATATTTATATACAGATTTTAAATGTTTCAAACAAAACAACATGAGTTTAAAAGATGGTTAACGGAAGAAACAGAATATAAGCTTTGAGATATGGATGTGCTTTATGTTTCTTAAAGCTTATATTTTCTTTTTGTTAAAGAATATTACAAAAAACGAAACAAACCTTGATCATTGACAGCGAAAATGCCAAGGCCATCGCCACCGGTGATGGAATACGTTATTTTCGAGTTTAGGTCAATTGTGTCCATGTCGCGAGCAGTAACATTCATTATAAATGTTCCCTTTGGTCGGTTCTCCTTTACTTTCCCTTCATACACAAAGTCATCGAATTCGGGAGCGAAACGATTTTCGTTGACATCGATGATCATTATCACTATGGGCATATCGGATGTCAAGGAAGGGTCGCCGCCATCAATGGCACTAACAATGAGATTATGCACTTGTTTGTTCTCATAGTCCAGATTTCCTTGTGTCCTAATCGCACCCGTGTGCTTATCGATCCTAAACAGCTCCTCATCCTGCGTCTCTTCCTTAAGAGAGAAGAGAATGTCGGCATTCGGGCCAATGTCATCGTCGACTGCTTCTATTACGGCCAATACAGTTCCTCGTGGAATATCTTCGCGTACTTTGAATATATATTCTTGAACTCCAAAAACCGGGGCGTTGTCATTGACATCATCGACCAGAACGTAAACAAGAGCCTCCGAGGATAGAACTGGATTTCCGCCATCCTTCGCCGTTATATGTAGGGCATAGTTGTCCTGTCTTTCGCGATCGAGTGGCTTTGTTAATCGAATGCAGCCTGTAGTAGCATTGACCGCAAAATCACTACATTCAACGGATAAGGCATAAGTCACTTGAGCATTTACACCCGAGTCCGCATCCGTGGCATGTATGCAATGCACCACAGTGCCTATCCTGGCACTTTCCGCCAGCCGGAAGGTCGCTAGAGTCTTCTGTATGACCGGGCGATTGTCATTCACATCAAGGATCGAAATAGGAAGCATTTTTGAATTTGATTTAATGGGGTTGCCCAAATCGTAGACGGTGATGTTTAGGACATATTCATTTTGACGTTCTCTATCTAAATAGCCAATTATCTGAAGCTCGCCGCGGTCGGGATCGATTCGAAAAACGGAATCATAGTCCCCGTCGGAAATGGCGAAAACCAGTTTGCCATTGTAGCCCAAATCTCGGTCCTTGGCCTCTATCCACGCCACGGTTTCGCCCAACTGAACACTTTCGTTTATAGACAACTCCAGCGGAAAGTTTACGAATTCAGGTCTGTGCACATTTTGGCCATATCGACTGGGAGTCAGGGACAAGTCGCTGAACACCGATTCCGACACACTCTTTACGTTGTTCTTTTCCGCCAATGCTATTGTTTCAGCTAGCCTTCTGGCCACTCCGGTCTCTCGGCACTCAAACGACCCAAAGCCATGCAAAACACTGGCATCTCCGCCCAAGTCTTCGGGCATTAGGTGTACATTTATGATCAGATCATCGGAGAAATGAGTTCCATCGGTGGCAGATACTTTAAGGACACGATTTGTCAGAGATGTTTTCATCAGGTCACAGGCAATGGACAGGGCACCGGTAGAAGGATCTAAGCTAAAGCACCCATCCTCGTTCCCGTCGCTCAACCGATACGAAATAATGTCGCCCGAGTCGAAGTCAATGGCGGAGGTAACGAAAACTTCTGTCCCCATCTGGGCCGATTTAGTAACTTTTCCATAGCAGTTAACGCGCTCGAACTGAGGCCTGTTATCGTTAATGTCCTTGATGGCGATGGAAAGTTTAATTTCCGTCTGCCTTCTGTACGGCAATCCCCAATCCGATGCCCGTATTATCAGTTCATAGTTCCTCTTCATTGTTTCGTAGTCAATGAGAGAGGTGGTCTTAACAATACCGCTGAAGTGGTCGATTTCAAAGGGCACCGTATTGAGATTGGCAATACTATAAGATATGTACGAGTTTTCACCAGAGTCCCTGTCCTTGGCTGTGAGCTTCACAACGAAGGAGCCAGCCAAGTTGTTTTCGTTGATACTTATCATTTTGTTTACATTCTCGAAAATCGGGTCATTGTCGTTCATATCCTGCACGCTGATTTTCACCTTCGCCGAGGATTGCTTACGGGATCCAACGTTGGCCTGGTCAATGGCCGAGACGGTTAATGTATAACTAGACTTCTTTTCGGCGTCGAGCTGCTTGGCGGTGTACAGCATTCCGGAGTCTGGATTAATGCGAAATTCATCGCCTTCGTTCCCACCAACGATCTCCAAGTAGACCAGCGCATTCTTTCCCAAATCAGGATCGCTTACTTTTAGCCTTATCACAGGCATGTTAATGGGGGCCGTTTCCGGAATGGAGACATCGTAGATTTCTTGTGTGAAAATAGGAATGTTTTTGTTCTCGGGCTTAATTTGTATCGGTACTGATTTGTAGGCAAATCTGCGTGGAGTTCCCAAGTCCTCCGCTCGTAAGGTTAAATTGTAAATAAAATGCTGCTGACTTAGGTGCGCAAACTGATTTAATTCGATATAGTACTCGTCTTTGGTCTCTGCGGATCTTAGAAGAAACGTGCCATCCGGGTTGCCATCGACGATTTCCAGTCGTCCAATATTTCCATTTACCCCAATGTCCTTATCATTTACCCGAATAATGCCATATATCAATGGATTCGATGTTGGCGTCACGCTCGAGAAGGTTTTTGTAAAGATTTCCGGAGCATAAAAGTTAACCTGTTTCACCGAAATGCTCACCTTGGCCTTGCTCGCCTGGTGGTTCTGATGGTTCACCCAAGATCCCCTGTCATAGGCGAGGACCGTGAGCTCAAAGTGCGAGTTTTCCGCATACTGAAGTGGCTGTAAAAGGGTGATTTCACCAGTAGTTGGATGGATGGCGAAATACTCGCTATCTATTAGCAGACTGTAGTAAATTTCGCCATTGATCCCGAGATCTGCATCGTCCGCGGTGACCTTTAGAATACTTTGATATTTTGGAGTGTCCTCTGGAATAACTACAGTATATTGGGTTGGGTAAAATAATGGACTCAAGTCGTTGCGATCCAATACTTTAATGTGAATATTCGTTTCCGCTTCATAGCTTGATATATTTCTGTCGTGCAAATGTACATGTGCTTTTACCCTTATTACGTATTCTTCAGTTTTTTCTCTGTTTAGCACAACGTTATTTGTTCGAGTTCGAATAGCTAAGAAGGCAAAGTCTCCGACCAGTTTCTCTTCAGCTTTAAATAGCTTCTCCTTATCGCCGCTCACTATCCTATACTTAACTTCTGCGTTCAAGCCAACTCTCATGCCGGCCAGTCTTTCATGCAATACTCCCTTAGCGTAAGTCTTACCCAGACTATTTTCTGGTATGGTAACATTATATACATTGTGGCTAAAGCGATATAGATTTTCCAATTGGTTCTCTAGTCTATATTCGAGGGGCGCTGTGTGCTTGCCATCGGATTTGTTTTGTACAGTTGGAATTAGCCATAGACTACACAGCAGTGAAATCCATTGGAATATAGTGAAATCTTTTCTTTTTACAGGAGTTACATATTTTTTAATCTTCATAGTAAACATATACTGCGCTCATTTCACATAATATCCTGTAAGACAAACCAATAAAACATATATTAGAAAATATTTTAAAATATCTTTTGACTTAAATTTAAAGTCGCTTATACTATTGAATTACTTTTAGAAGTTATAACCTTCGATATTATTACACGGTGAGCCATTTAATGTTTAACATACCGCTTTAAAAGGGTTTGTCGAGAACAATCCAACTTTACTTTCAACTAACTTCTCAAAATTTTCAACAAAAAATTTAAAGTTCTCCCAGTGATAACAGCATAAGAACTTTTATGAACTCTGGTAATGTTAGTAATGCCTGCCAGGACATAACTTGGACCCTACACCGACGCATAATTTGTGTCGATAAAAAGAAAATTCAAACGTTACACAATTCAAACTAAACCCAGAAATTAATTTGGGTCGTGTCGATTATGCCAAATGAAACATTCAAATGGCGGAGATTCAGCTAAGTCATATTGATAAACGTTGATTTTAACTGGCCCCCGAAATCATCTGAATTGACGCCACCAGACCTAGTTGGTTCTATTCGAAATCAAAAGTACATACTGATGCCACAGCTAAACTAAAAAACACGTACGATGTGAAATCGCCGCCATATCGACCGATACGTTGGCAAACACCATGGAATATACCGAAAAAGGGGCTAATTTTGTGTTCAAGGCCGAGGTTTGCGTTTACGTTAAAAATAGCAGTAACACATTTTCTTAAAACAAAAATAAGTTACAATCGAAATAAAAAAAAAATCTAATTAAATGGTCCAACTATTATAAAATTAAAATTAAATTCAATACATACATATGTACGTATCTTTAGGTGTTATCCGTTAAAAATTTTCCTTTTTAATAAATGTATAATACCTAAACACGCGGGACAGACACTTTCTTGAAATCAGATTACTCATAACATTTCACAAATCTTAAGGAATTTAATTGACTTTTTAATAATCTTCATCTAAATTTAAGTTTAATATTCTGCATTAAAAATGAAGAAAAAAATTATTATAAACCTTAAATACGCTTATAACGTATTTTATAGATATATATATATATATATATATATATTTTATCCATTTTGAAATGAAATTATTAAAAACAAAAGCTAATATAAGCTGCACTAAAATATTATCATTTTGCCTATTTTGACAGTTGAATTTCTTTTGCAAATATTTTTCTCTTAAAATTAAACAAAATTTTTGCACCAACTCCTCATTTTGTTTAAAGCTTAACTAGCTAAAATATTAATAAGTAATAATATTTCGATATGGAAACAAAACTGAAGCATTTGACTTATGTGCACTTATCTTTTGCTTATTTTCAGAGAACATAGTAAATTAAGGCAATAAAAAATAATATTAAGCACAAACATATTAGATGAAATTCAAGAAAAGTTATATGAAAAGTATGGTGAAATTAGTTATATTAAAATATTTACATAATATGAAAATGCAGATTGATCAGATTTGATTTGATTATTTTAAACAATCACTTTTCAGCAAATCAAAAAGCTGTGAAGACGGCCTTAAAGTACATCTTCCGAAATCGATGTGACCCAGATTTTACTTTGAAAACATCTGCTTGCGTTGCCTTATCAGTGACTAAGCTATTTTATTAAGTTGTTCATTCTTTCTCTCAAATTGGTTTATATTTTATTATTTTCCATATTTTTATGTACCGCTCAAATGATGTACTTTTACTTCTCAACTTGAATGTTAAACAAGAAAGAAATCTAAATTCGGAAAGCTGAAATTTATATGTATACTGTTCCGGTTAGAACAAAAATCAAATTGTTTCTATAAGCTAGCCATAATATTATATATGGTGGTTTAATCTGGCATATTAGATTATTTCGACATGTGACTTCCTGCAATAGAAGAAAGAAACCCTAAAATGTTTCATTTAGACTCTAAAACATAAAAACTAGTTTAAGTAGAAACAGCAGCAAAGAGACATGGCTAAATCAACTCGACTGCCAATTCTGATAAAGAATATACATACATATGTATGTACATATATGATATGGTCCCTTTCACCGTCTTGCAAACTTCTGACTTAAATTAGAATATCTGTTGCTATACTATAAAAACCCTTAATAAAAAATGAATAGTAAACACTTAAATTGACTACTTTTTCACTATTATTTTTATTATAGAAATATAGATATATGAATTTTTAATTAAGTAACCTTTGAAATAATGAACTCAAAACAATCGAAATTTAAATCAACAATTACATGAACATGACAATCTATAAGTGCATATAATATTTTCATCCATGCACATTTAAATAATTGAAGCTATTTAGATTAATTAGCTTTTTTAATTTTAATGGGTTGGATGTTGATCATAATTTTACCCATTATTTTGCATAACCAGTGCATGTTATAAAAACATAATTGGTTTAGATAGCGTTAAATATATGTTATTTTTAACAATTCTATGATGCACGTGTATAAATAATCGGTTTGAAACGGTATGTTTCGGATCAGTAACACCACGCTCTAAATGGTTAAGTATAACTTGTTAAATGTATTAATTCCAAAAAGAGATTTATAAAACTTAAGTTTCCGTATTTCATGCTACGGAAGTTGTAGCTCAGACATTTTAATTATGCTGATTTTATATTTAAAAGTATGGCTTAATATTGGTTCTGTTTAAATCAAGAATTTTGTACTTCTTATTTTGTCTTTATTATTGATTGTATAAAAGGATTTGTTTTTATTATTTAAAAAAATACGGAAATGTATTAATAATTAATTCAAGTTTATCAAATCACAAATGTGCAAACATACAAATATTGAAATTTAATAAATTTCCCTTGTAATCATAAATAAAAAAGTTTAAAACTAAATTAATTAATGTTAATTTATAAATTATGATGAAAGGTATCATTATACAAAGGTATAAAACCAAAAACACGACGCTACCAATTGGTTGAAGACTTCGAAGTTGTTGAACTAGAGATTGTTTCGTATCCTTCGAACGTCCCTGGAAACTTTTAATTTTTTTTGGCCAGAAGAATAGTTTTACCACGAACTTCCAAATAGTAGCAATAAATTCACAAAATCACTATTGTATTCGTTTTGATTGATAATAAAAAACTCGAAGTTATTTACCGCACACTTTAAGAACAAAAATATCTCTACATATTCATGGGGAAAAAGATCACACTTTAAACTTTACTTTTCACACTTTTATCAGATAAAGAAACCCTTTGTCTCGCAGTACAAGAACTGTGATTTTTGGTGGAAAACCGCTTAGGTTGCACAATATTTTCTCTTATTTTCAGGGACTCTTTTCCAAACAAACGTTTTATGCAGAGACTGAACAATACAAGAACAATTTTTAAATTGATGCCGAAGAGATTCGCATTGCGTCATGTCACCATTAATTACCAGAACAAACCACTTGTTCGTGGAAGGAGTTTCGAAACAATTTCACTGTTAACCGAATTCATGAAAAGTAAGGTTGCGAAATGGGTTCGGTGTGAACCGCATATGTATTTATGTACATACATACTGATGTGAGTAATAAAGCGCGTAATTTATAAGAAAGAAGCGAACGGCAGTTAAGCACTTCAGAAAGGGTGAATGAGTCAAAGGTAAAACTTGTTATTCATCCCAAAACATAACGATTACTTGGTAAATCTGCAAGTGTGTTTAAATACATATGAATGTAAATACATATGTGTAACGCGCGCCTACGCAATTTGAACCCTTTTTCAACTTGTCTGGTTTCTCACTTTGAAAATCAATCCACAAAATCACAACCACAATAAAACTTTGGTCAACTGTTTTTCCCGTAAATTTATATAGAAATGCAGCGTTTACATATATAGGTATGTAATGCTCGCTGCATAAATATATACATATGTATGTTTGTATGTGCATATGTACCGCGGTGTACACAGATAACATGTGTCTCTTTTTCGTGGGCCTAATTTTCGATAAGGTAAATAAACACACATACCGCAGCCGCGAAGAACTGTGTGTAGGCAGCACTTTGTAAAAACTCAGTTTAATACATAAACCACGGTTAGAGGTAAATCTCGAAAAAATTGTTTGGCCAACATACGGAGATACATTTGTATGTGTAAAAGGTACATATATATACCTTACAATAAAAAGTTGCTCCCACTGCGCAAGCAACTTCGGTGGAACTCGATGTTTTCGTTGGTTTTTCGTTAATTTAGAACCGAACACCTGCATCTAGATATATTTTCATTCATCACACAATTCTGGAGCACTTCCACACAATAATTACACATTTATTTCCAGCTGCATGTATGCACCATTAACTACGATCCCTCCGCCCGCTCTCTTCTACAATTCGATTTTAAAATCGATTAAATCGATCTTTTTGGATGAGCGAAACTAGAAATTCTTTTTTTTAGGGAGCCGATGCATCGACCATCTTGGTCATATAAAATAAATAATTTAGACTGTGATTGGAATTATAATCTAGTAGTGGGGAAAAATACACTGCAGAGTCGGCAATACGGGCACACCTGGTTTCGGTAAGCCGATAGACCAGATCTAGATCGATTACAGCTCGATTGCGATCTGCTAAGGGCGCTTATTTAAATGTGCGTACGGTAAGGTAAAATAGACAATAAATGAATACAAAAAATTTTGCTCCCCTCGCATTGTCAAACACAGTGCCAAATAAAACAATTTAAAAATACTCGCTAATTTTTTGAATTACATTCAAACAAGCTTCTCCCTGTTCTTAAAATATTCGATATTCCATGTAAGTAAAGAGACTACAAGTACAAGCTTTTCACAAATACATAAAATAATATATAAACAAAGTAATGTATGCCCTTAGGTGGAAATAATTTCAGCTAATAAAACACCATAAATAAAATATGCTTGAAAGTTTGAACAATATTTTTAAATCTAAGAATGTTGGCCTATCCATATATGGTTTTTATAGGCAATATTTTTGTACTTCTGTGAAAAAGGTCCAAAATATGTATATTTATCAATAACATAATTAAAGTCCTGACAAGACACAAACTTGAAATCCTTCATTCCGTATAATCCGTATCGTAATGGCTCCGAGTTTTCACTAAAAGAATCAACTAACTTGTAGCACTGTTTGGCTCTTAAAGGTATTTTTATTATTGCACAATCCACTGGTATTTATTAGAAATAACAACGGGTTTTGGGAAGTTACCCAAGCACTCACTATTATGCAATCTTTATCACATTTACACTTATTTTAAACCCATATTATTGTAGTGAGCGGTGTACACACAATACGTACGTACATATTTCTGTATTTCACAGAGGGACATCACTAGCACTGGAAATGCGTGTTGGCATAGAAATATTTATTGAATCGCATACTGACGCGTATCCTCGCAGTCATATTAAAAGAATAGCGCGGCTTTTGATTGAAACACACATTTCCTTCATTCAACTGCAAGCTACCGACGTACACAATATACCGCGACTTTAACCAACATAAACCGCAGCCAATGAGAACAGAAATTCAACTGTTTCGATATTTTGCAAACGAGACTCTTTGGGCCAACGCAGGTCCTTTCGGGTTGGAACTGAACCTCAAGTATGACATCCTGTTGCAACATGGAACTCATACGCTGTTGACTGACGGTTAAAAAACACTATTTCCCCTCCTCAAACAACAGCCATACTGCAATGTGTAAATGTTAGCCCATTCTTCTATTTGATAGAAAATTTCCCTTTATTTTAACAGAAAAGATATGCTCCTTAAAACTTCCAAAACATGTATGTTATATAAATTCTGGGTACAATAACAGGGGCTGTGAAATATATTTCCCTTTCCCCCCAAGTCTTAATGATGTCCTTCCGTCTTTGAAATATAAGTTTTTTTGCGCGTTTGTTGTCGTTAGATCTCCTGTGTTGGCTCATCCTTGACTATTCTCTGGTGGCCTTAGTTTTGAAAAAGTCACGTATCACTGCCTGGACCGCGTTTGGTGATATTGGTATCCTTTTTAAAATACGAAGTCCAAGTTGGTAGGCATTTGAAAGCAGTGTAAGAAAGCAGTTCACATCTACCAAAAAGTAATTTCCCAAAAAAATTCTAAAAGCAATTACCTAATATCGTACGTCCTTTTATAGTACCATAAATTTGATATAAAAGGTTTCATACAGCTCACCAAATTGTCATTAAGTAGCGCCATACGTTGAGAATTTGTTGACATTTTTATTTTCTCAATAGATGGATCTCAAATACTGGTTTAACTCCGAAATATAATTCACAAAACTAATATATACCGTTTTTTACAAGGATTATACCAAAATAATATCTGCTGTACATCGAAAGATGGACTGGCCGATAGGGATAAATGGAGTTCCTGTTGATTATTTAGTAAATATTATATTCTTAATGAACTTGCAAACTTGAACTTTAAACAGAACCTCAACTAAAGTTTTTTATTTCAAAAACAAAATCTTATTAAGAAGAAGGGTTTTTGGAGGTTCCTCCTCCACTCAAGCAGTAATAAAGTAATTATGTTAAAGCAATAATAATCCTTAGAAACCCTCCTAACTGCGTTCCAGTTCCGCGTGACCAAGTTGTAGTAAAAAACTCACCTGATAAAAGTAGAATAATAGTGCTAAAAAGATTATAATCCCTTTTCAGTCTTAATTCAAGAATATAATTAGACAAAGATAAAGCCATTTATATTTTTTTATCAACATTTGTTTAATCGTTTATTGTTGATACATTTGTACATTTATAAACATACCCAATGTGAGGAGAAAATGCCTGGTTAAGCACAGCTTTTAGGTTTCTGTTTCTCAATATGCAGTTCAAATTAGTTGGATTGATAACGGTTAACACTGCCATACTATATTGAAGTAGTTTATTTTCATCGTTCATTGAGAAAGTGGATTGAAGTCGATCTTTAACTTTATTAAACGTAACTACCACGCAAAACATATACGGAACACAGTCGTTAAGTGTTAACAGTTTACGCATATTTATTTTTATGTATTGGGAACATTCAGAGAAATCAATATATAAAAAGAAATATGTGGTTTATATATGAAGCCCTTAATTTCTACTCTTGAAATTTGTATTTCAATTTCTGTAGCCACCTCCAAGTATTATTCAAGATCATCGATAATTGCACCCGATGAGCTTTCTATTATCTTAGCGCCTTCCAGCTGTTGCGAGCTCTGCCCTAAGGAGATGGGGCCGTCGTTACCCTCCGCCGCCCGATTTCCGAACTCTTGCATTTTGACGATCAGCATCGCGAATACTTGAGCTGGAAGGGAGGACTGCAGCACCTGCAGTAGGCGAGCCGGTTGGCCGCACACAACGATGGCATTCGCCAAATGCTCAACACCGCTCTCGAAGTCTCCGCTAGCGATCAGGGTCTCACCCAACTGGATTTCTTGCACGAAGTATCTAAAAAGATATTTTTGGTGTGGATTAGATGCTTTATATATGAATAATTGTTATTTGGTACTTCATTAACGAATACAAATATAATTTTTGTTAAAATGTTAGTCTACAACAAGTCAAAAGAGGAATTCTTATGTTTTTTACTAGCGCTTCTAATTATATTATATGTTGCTGTTGTTGAAAACATTTGTTAAATTGTTTTTATATGGTTGTAAGACAATCCTTTTACATGTCCTTCAGTTACTAACTTTAACACAAGCAATATTCTTCATTTATACACACGGTATACACAATGAGTCATGATAAATACACATGAATTTTAATTATGAGAGATATGTAATAGCCAGCTGATTTCACCTAGATAAAGAACGGGCACAGTTGGTTCCAGTACTAACTTTCTTAGTACATTAAACAGTCTGTATCAAATTTACCACAGAATGAGTGTGAACTAGTTAGTTCGAAATTTATACAATGAAGTATTTAATAATGCATTGTCTTTTCAATAATAATCTATGGGTAAACAAAACGTAAATATATACATATATGTATATGTACTTGTGCATTTGTTCCGATAGTTATGCTAGTAGTAAATGTACATACATACATGCATACCGATGTACATATGTATATATAAGCATACATCGCTGGCGTACGTACAATTGTGCGTATGAATGGAAATGTTATGAATCGGCGAAAACTACACGTGCCGCATTATATAATGATTTAAATTTGAACATGCCTACCTTTCAATAGCTTCATGGTCGTTTAGATTTGGAATTCCAGGCTTGGCAGTGCCAGATTTTTTGTTGCGGCGGCGACCTAACATGTGATGAAATGTTTAGTTTCTTTCATAATTAACTTTTATGTCAAATATTCTTACGCTCACGGACTTTCTTCTTGTACTCTGGGTCATTGCGACGCTTCTTATCAAAGTAGATGCAGTATCCTATAAATAATGTTCCAGCCACTCCCGCTGCAATTCCAATTGCAGTTTTGTTCATTTCAATCATATTACGAAAATTCTCTCTGCTTTAGATGTTTCTTATTTTACATTCCGCATGTGCCATCGATTTATATAAAACGAAAATCGATAAGTCGGCCTGCACGAAAAACCATTCGTGTTCTTAGAGCATTTGCAGCTGTATTGAAACAATGGAAGTGAAACACTGATTAATGTGAAACACAAAATTTCTCTTTCTACCATTCCATAAATAAAACTGTTGTTTAAAAAAATAATTATAAATGTTTTTATGAAAATAAATTATAGTAATTTCTTTTAAACATACCGTAGTGGTATAAAGATTCTACCAGATCAGCTGTTTTTAAAAACTATTCTAATTTGAAGAAGAAGGAATGGAATATGGAATGTTTCATTATTGAATATATATGAATTTATATATGTTTATTTTATTCTGAGTTTAAACTTAACATATTTATATTTCGAATACCATATATATAAGAAGAGTAAAATTGTCCAGTTAAATTCATGCTAATGAATAAAACATTAAATCAGTATCTTTTTTGGCATAGGTGATAACTTTTGTATTAAACAGCTGTTTCTGAAAAAAATAAACAAAAAAATTCTCAGATTGTAGTTCCAAAATGGGTTTATTTGGAGAACTTGACGTAGCTTTAGAACACTGCGTCAAGCAGATCTGATAGTCTTAAATGTTTATCCACCTGTATGACCTTAAAACATATAACTTATTCTTTTTTAACGCCAAAATAAAATTACAACAAATTATTTGATCTTTTAGGTAAAAAATTTGCAACATAAAATGTCTATACTTTATTTTTAAATGTTTAACGTTAACATAAATTACATAGCTCTAAAGACGAATCCCGATAATGTTCCAAAAATATTTAACGATTAGAAGAAATAAATAATACAAATTCACTTTATCACCGAATATATCATAAGATTGGTATTGAGAAACAAATAACTTAAAAAATTGTATTATTATTATTATTATTATAAAGAAAATGGGCTTCTGCTGAAAAATAATTAACTAATATGTATTAATCCTGAAAATATTTAAGTATGTATGCATGTACATATGTATATAATTATTTGGAACCATCTTTAATGAACTAATATATCCTGGAAATATTTAAGCATGTATTTATTTATTATATATTAGTTCATCTGAGCAGGACACGAAAATATGTAATTGACGCAGAACCATGAGGAATTTCCAACGCTAAATTGATAGGTTCCAAACTGCGAGTGTGTGATTTTTCTTATGTGTATGGAGATATATATGAACCCGCATACATAACCATTTATATGTTGGTATTCTGTAAATATACATTTCTCTTTAACAAATAAGTATTAGTGATTCGTTAGTCTTCCTATTGAACAATTCCTTCACTTAACCCCGGAGCACTCGAGAGTAACCATGCGGAGCTTGTGGCTAAATACGCTTACCAGGCAAAGTAGGTACTTGAAATTTCAAAGTTTTCCAGTAATTGTAACCACATTATTTGTAGGCCTATGTCGGTTGAGTACCAAGAGGTACTCCACCAACAATGAGCCAAAGGAACCAGTGGTGAGGACAAAATCAATACCTGGCCCGAAATCAATTGAGCTTAAAAAGCACCTGGATTCTGTTCAGGTGAGTTTTATTATTGTTATCATTTTGCTGATACCATAAATTGTATTTCTCTTTTTATTACTTAATGCACTTATCTAAAGCATTATTGCCTTTATATTTGCACATCAGGCCACAAATATGTATATGTTTGTTTTTGGTCAACAAAGGCCACTTATTAATTAAAACAAATTGCTTTTTTATAGGCCACCGGAACCATCCAATTCTTTGCTGATTACGAAAAGTCCGTTGGAAACTATATTCACGACGTTGATGGAAATATTTTGCTTGATGTCTACACTCAGATTTCCTCAGTGCCCTTGGGTTATAACCATCCAAGACTCTTTAAAGTTTTTAGCAACGAGCAAAACCTGAAAAGTGAGTAAAGCTTCTTTTACTTAATTTATTAGGTCTTGAAATTTATTCGCCCCAGAATGTATTACATTTATTTACATTATTTACACTAATAATTTCCGTGGGTTTTTAAAGATTAACTCTATTTTCGATTATTTGTAGCTCTAATTAATAGACCGGCACTTGGTGTCTTCCCTGGAAAAGAATGGCCGGAAAAATTGCATTCCGTTTTGTTGAATATTGCACCGAAAGGACTTAATAAAATTACCACAATGATGTGCGGTTCATGCTCAAACGAAAATGCTTATAAGAGTATTTTTATATGGTGGGTTACTATAATATATTCTTTTTCCTGCGTCAAATCAACTTTTTATATATCTTTTAAGGTACCAAAACAAACTACGCGGAAATGCTCCCCTTACAGAGCAAGAGAAAAACTCTTGCATGATCAACATTCCGCCAGGAGCTCCTAAACTAAGTATTCTCTCATTCAAGGGAGCATTCCACGGTCGCACCTTAGGCGCACTTTCCACTACACATTCGAAATATATTCATAAACTAGACGTTCCCTCTTTCGATTGGCCGATTGCCTCATTCCCTCAGTACAAATATCCTTTGGAAGAAAATGTAGAGTACAACAAGAAGGAGGACGAAAAGTGCCTAAGCGAAGTGCAGGATCTTATTGAACAGTACTCGAGCAAGAATCCTGTCGCCGGAATTGTGGTAGAACCCATTCAGAGTGAGGGAGGTGACAACGAAGCGTCGCCCGAATTCTTCAGAAGCCTGCAGGCCATTTGCAAGAAGAATGGCATCGCCCTCTTGATCGATGAAGTGCAAACTGGAGGAGGAAGCACTGGAAAGTTCTGGGCCCATGAGCATTTCAACTTGGAGAGTCCTCCAGATGTTGTGACCTTCAGTAAGAAGCTGCAGTTGGGAGGCTACTTCCACAACGACGACTTTATTCCCAATGAGCCGTACAGGATTTTCAATACTTGGATGGGAGACCCGGGAAAAGTTTTGCTCTTGGAGGAAATCGTGAAAGTCATCCAGGAGGACAACCTCTTGGCCAATGTTAACGTGGCCGGAAATGTTCTGAAAAATGGTTTATTGAGCTTGGAAAAAGAATTCCCACACATACTGAACTCGACACGCGGGCGTGGCACATTCTTGGCCGTCAACTGCACCAATACTAAGGTGCGAGATCAAGTAATTGGAGCATTGAAGTTGCACGGCATCCAAACTGGAGGATGTGGAGACATTTCCATTCGATTCCGCCCAGCTTTAGTATTCAAGGAATACCACGCAAACATTGTCCTGGACCGCTTCCGCAAGGTTCTGCAAGCAATCTAAAAACTAATACAACAAACTATTTAACAAAATGAATGTGCTTTGAAAATTGCGATCGCATGCAAATATATATCTTACAAAAATGAATAATAAAATGAATTTATTTTTTCTTGCTTTAATATTATTTATAATTAATGGGAAAAAGCCGAGAATATACTGATATATTAAGCCATTATCAAGTTGTCCGAAAAATCTAAATCCAGTAGGTAGTAGTTGGGTAAATAAATTTGAGAGTATCTCAATTTTTTTTTTTTAACAAACATTTTTTTAATTACAAATATGCACATATCCAGATTATGGTGTTTCGTAAGGTGGATACTCAGGATTCATACTCCATTACTGTTAAGTGATTTTTGATCTCATTACTCTACCATATTTCAGATATCTAGCAAATGTTAATCCATTACTTTCTAGTAGATATGTTGCAAACACCTCAGAGTTTCAGTGAACTAATGAGGGTGCTTTCGTGCTATCAAGTGTGTCTGAAAGGAATGAGGTAAATCATATATATAAATTGCCTTTCAAACTAATATTGGAATTCAGTGAGGCCTCATCCGTCTATTTCGTACTGTTTCAAACTCGAGCAGGCTTCTTAATGTACTCAAAAGGAAATTGTTGTACTTACTTTTCATCAGTCTTGTAGTTTCTAAGCATTTTATACAATAAGGTTTCCTTTATGATCATTTTATTATGAAAAATTTAAAACCTTAACATGGGTGTTTTGGAACGGTCATAATAGATATTATTTAATTTAATATTATAATTAAATATTATAAGAATTGTTTATTATTAGAAAGAAATATACATAATGGCCATACTGAAACAAAACAATTCAATTCGCAATTACTCTATACACTGTTAAATGATTATTGCTTGCATTTCAATAGTATTTTAGTTAATGGGACTGCGGATCACACTGTAATAATCGTACTATTGATGGATCACTTTTGGCTCCTTCTATGAACTCTTCCAAGCTTAATTTGCCGTCCTTGTTTCGATCCATTTGTCGAAAAATCTTATCGGTTCGTTTCTCAGGAGTACTTTCGTCCTCTGGCATTTTCATCACCGACCCCACCATTTTATATATTGCCTAAAAATAATTGATTAATTTAAATTAATGTATTTACTTCAAAGAATAAAAGGATAATTACTTACTGTAACAATTTCTAGCATTTCCTGCCGCGATATGTATCCGTTTCCATCTAAATCATACATTGAGAATGCCCATTTCAGTTTTTGCTCGAGTTTACCTCGAGATGTGACACTTAGTGCACACAAAAACTCTCTAAAGTCTATAGTGCCATCGCCGTTTGCATCAAATGTCCTAAACACATGTTCTGCAAACTAAGGAGGAAAATATACATATTACAACATTTTTAAGGAAATTAGTACTTTAACTGAAAATTCAAACATTTGTTTACACTTCTGGGATTGAATTAAGCGTCTTACCTTGCTAGCATCGCCATATGGGAAAAAGTTCCCATATATCTTCTTAAACTCCTCTACTGATAAATGCCCGCTCGGGCAGTCCTTAAGAAAGCCTTTATACCATTCTTGGATTTCAGCATCTGAAACATATAACCATTTAATTAAAATACCGATCCCTGGACCATTGCCTGAGAATAATACGAAAAGGGAACTTACCTGTGAACTCTGTGTTTTGTTTGAGGTCCTCCAAAACTTCAGGTTTTAGTTTACTATTTTGCTTTCCCATTGTTGCAGAACAATTTCATTATACAGTTATCTTAAAATGCAATGTAATATTTATAATTACCAACTATTTATATATTGAAGTTAAGAGAAAGTTTTCTTCGGGTACCGAAGGCTTAAATACTCTTGCAGCCGAATATCACTAAATGCCAATTAAGATCATTTTACCATCTTACAGTTGTTGTGTAAAGCCTTATAAAACTATAGCATCTTATGCCCAAACAGGCTAGATACTCTTTAATGTTACACTCTCTTAAAGTAAAACTATTCTTTAAATAGTTAGGAACCAATCTACATACATACTTTAACAAATAAGCATTTCCAATTTGGTATCTCATAAACATAGAGACGTTAGGCTAAAACGGAATAGAAGTTTTAATGTTGTAATGTACAATTCTACCAAATACCTAAGAACCAAAAATATATATATTTATAATATATAGGCATAGCTTAAATATTTCCCAAATTATATCCATTTACCAAACTCGTATTAAGCGCTCTAGAGTTGCTCAATTGTAGGCAAACAGCATTCTAGAACTATGAGCAATGCTGCTACGCACTTTTTAATCTGTGTATAGTCTCATAAGGAAGGAAATACAATCTGTATTATTTTTTAATTTTTCGTTGGCAGAAAAATAATATAAATATAGAGAAAATAGAAAGCTTGGCGTTATGCATTATTATATCATCTTTATTTTCACCATTAAATGGAAACCAATTTCCACCAGGTTCCACGATTCAAAGAAAATATTGATATACAATATTAGAAAACAAATTTGTAAATGAAAAAGCGTAAAAAAATAAAATAAAAATTAGTCGATATAGGTCAGTTTCTACCTTCTACTTTGGCTAAAACAAAAAACTATTTAAGTTTTTACTGGATACAAATCCCTAATGCTAGGAACATTCAGCAATTTGTTGAGTCGTTTGCTTTTTGTCATTTAAAAGCTTACAAAAAACGCTTGTATAAATATTCCGCTTCTTTTCAAATATGATTGTCAATATGTCAAATAATGTAATGTAAGTAAAAGTAATATTTTCTGGGAAATTAAGGGCATACATGTTAAAACTAAAAATATTGAATAATTTTTAATGACGCACACTCAAAATAGTTTAATGATTTCATAGTTTTATAGTAGTTTAATTTTAGTATAAGAAATATAAATTAAATATTTATACATTTCATTACTGATTTCATCAAATACACACATATTGTAGGATATAATTGTTTATGGTGCCAACATTTTTGACAACTCCTCATCTTGCAAGCATCCTTTTAAGAACTCATCTTGGGTTAATTGACCATCGTTATTTTCGTCCATTTTTGCAAAAATATTTTTTGCTCTTTCTTCTGCTGAATCAGCTGGACGATTAGATGAGCACGCTCCTAGCATGTCATAAATTGCCTGAAAGGAAATCAAATATCATTTAATACCGTAAGAGTTTGACTAATTCGGAATGTATTGCCTTGTATGTTTCTTTTACTGCAAATTAAAACATAAAAGAAAGTCAAGTCATACCTGAACAATTTTGGTCATTTCTTGTATGTCTATGACACCATTGCCATCGACATCGTACATTCGAAAGGCCCACTTTAACTTTTCCTCTGGTGTTCCGCTTGAAGTTACATCTATTGCGAGTAAAAATTCCTAAAAAGAGGTTTTTTAATTTGAATAGGAGGTATATTTTAGGTTGATTTAGTTCGATTTATTATTATTAAATGAGTATCATGCGTCAAGGGAGTCCACATATCGGCATACATATCTGTACAATAATAACACAATATGCATTCTCATCACATATACAATATAGTACATACGATCTTACAAATTCACAGGCCGGACGATCGATACCCAAATATGAAAAAATGAATTCTTCGAAAGCGCTGAAGCCGCAACAGACGTAACAAAATCTCTAATGACTTTTAAAATTTAAGTTAAATTTTAAATAAATGTTTTGCTTAAAATTATTTTAACTTCAAAGAATATATTTTGTTATCTGAACAGCTTAATTTCTACCTTCATATATTCAACTGGCAATCCCTGTGGACTCTATTTTAAATTAACTTTCACGGGGATTGGTATTCTATTTCGCAACATTAATTCCTTTTACTTGCGTTTTCTTACGTACTCGTTGACCCGAAGCATAGCCTTCAAATTAAATTCTGTATCTGAGGCCGAGAGAAAAGTGAGTAATGGAGGAATAATTACCTTAAAGTCAATATATCCATTTTTGTCCATATCGAATGTACGAAAGACATGGTCGCAAAACTCTTCCGCATTTCCGGATGGGAAAAACATTTTATACATATCGACAAATTTAGCTGGCGTCAATCGGCCGTTGGGACAATCTTGCTACACAAAAGAGACGAACGTACATATTTTTGAGACTTTTTCCGTTGGTGTGGTAATATTTGTACTCACCTTAAATCCTTTATACCACTCTTTAATAGTAGCCTCGTCATATCTCGTATGGGTTTTTAAGAACTCCATGTCTTCTTTGGTTAAACGGTCTTTACTACTCAAGCACCCCATATTTTTCACTGTTTATAACTTTTTAGAAGCTAAATTGTGTGTATTTAATATTTTTCTTGTTTAAATTGTTTCGCCAGGTGTGTACATTTGACTTAATTTTTATTTCTGGACAGAAAAACTCCTCGAAATCAATAATTTTGCTTGTATAGCATTACGTTAACGATATGTATGAATTGTGGCACGAACAAAATGATGGTTGAACGAGCGACTCATTTATAAAATTTTCTTGATAATAATAAGCAAAGTTGTACTTGACTATTAACTTGTATATTTCAAACCTGATGTGTACCGAAGGACTAATCAAATGGTTGAGGCGCATGCGCGGAAATTGTCTCTATACAGGACGATTATTGGTTAACCATATTTTCTGTACACGGTAGGACTTTTTTAAAAGAGAAATAGGGTTGCCAACGCATACCACGGACTATTATTTATTCGTTTTCTTTATTAATTTAAATTTTTTATGTTTTATTTAAGAATGCTAAAAAACAGTTTGAATAAGAAAAATCAGTTAATTGAATGGTTTTCCTAGTGACGATAGATCACAATCCATCGCAAAAGCTGCTTTATTATGCCAGCAAAATTTGCTCATTTTTGTCAGCTTTTTATATTAAATAATATAATTAAGAACCAATAGAATTTAAGCCAAGTTCTATTTAAAAACCATTTTTTATTATTGTTAAAAATTATTTATATATACAAGCAATGCAGAGCTGCAAATTAAAAGCATTTATCAGTTCTTTCCCAAATTACCTTTCCCTTAAAACAAATCGCCACACAAAGTAAAGTACAATACCGTCAGAAAGTAAAATGCCGTTCTGCAGAGAGCTCAGATCAATGATCTAAGAGTGGAAACGAAGCACATCACTTTAGTGTGTTTATTTTATTGCATAAACGCGAAATGGCAATATAGTAAAAATGTAATAAAGTTAAATCTTTCCGTAAAATGTAAACATTTCTGAACTAGGGGCAGAACATTTTGTTTACTGCATACAGACATTAACTTTTTGTGATCACTTTATGGAAAAACAATCTAAGTACGGCTTTGGGAAATTGCTACAATATTTTGCAAGGTATATAATACTTTAAAAGAGGTTTTTTATGTTTATAATTTATTTGTAGCCTTGTATCATGCGATTGCACGTTTAAGCTTACAAAATTCTGTTGTTTTATTATTATTATTATTACAATTAGTTTATAAGTTTGATTATTTTAAGGTTTACACAAACTGTTTGGATATGTTTAAATAAAATAATGTTTGTTTAATTGGCTGCTTAAGTATTTAGTTAAACATGCATTTTAGGCTATAATTAAGCTAGGCACGAACATTATCGATGCGTTTCATTATTTCTTCACAAGAGATGTTTTACTTACATCAGATAGTGTTCCGTCGACCAAGTCAAATAGCATTATTTACCTATCGAGGCTAATAAGCTGCAAGTAGAAAACAAAAAGCAATTAATTTTTACTCGTTTTTGAGGTATCATAAATACTATAAACAAAAATAACATGAAGCAATATTTTGGGTTATGCCGTTAGCCCGTTCAATACCGTGCGGCCAAAGAAATCTTATTTAAAAAAGGAAGTAACTTAATACATATAAAAAAAAAAGAATCATAATCTGTATGCTTTTGGCATGCTTATAAATATTTTTCAAGTTCTCAAGAAACCATAAAATCCATAAATATATAAGATTTATATATTTATCCAATGTGTGAAACACTTATGTGCCGAAACCCGCACTCAAATTTAAACGAATTCTTGCAAGAGGTCGATAAAATGATCTAATTATCCGAAAACTGAAATGTAGGAAAAACGGCGAGTAAATTTAATTAACTCATAAGCCGCCATTATACGTTTATCCATTTTTGAAACGAATTCTTGTTTTAAAATAAAATTGATGGATCTCTATTGTCATTAATAACTTTTATTATGATTAATGTTTTATGTTACTACTCTTGGTGGCGAAACACTCGAAAACAAAAGCATTTCAAACCCACTTTCATACTGAATGCGCTGAACGAAATGGAATTTTGGCACACGCACACGCCTGCGTGTCACGTGGGGAAGCACGGCCCGCGCCTATATTTTTTCTGCCGCAACATTTTCTGTTGTGGCCTTTTACATATTTGCCAATAACTTCTGTGTTTTTATTTAACAAACGAGAACTGCACTTTCCAGCCAACAAAAAAACGAAATATTCCACTGCGTCTAAGCTGGGCTTATTTCCAATAATCGAATGGCTTTGGCCCCCAACTGACCACACGTTCTCACTCCCACTGGATACTCCATTAACCTTCTTACATAAATTTTGCACTATTTTATCCAAGGAATTTAAATATGTACATTAATACAACCGGCTCCCAAGATGTGGGACTTTCAATTTAAATTAAGGTTGTTTGCCCGTACGTACATATGTACATATGTATGCGCGTTTGTGCATTTGCAATGAATTTGTTTGTCACATAGGCACATGCCCTCAAAATAACAACGCTAAAGCGCAATTTACATACGCATTTTTATTTCCGTTATAAATTCGTCCTAAATTGTTATTTTTGATATTTATATATGTACTAATATGCATATATACATACATATGTACACACAATATATGCAAGCAAAATTAGCGCAGTGTGTATTTGACACTCTCTCGCGCGAAATTTGCAAGCCTTCATGCCTGCTTGCGATTATTACCTGAAGAGAAATGACACATTGGTTTTAGGCACATTTCTGCAACCTGCTAAATTAACAATACCACTTTTTTGCAATTGCAATAAACGTTTTCGACCAAAACACAATCAATACAACAAATTTAGTGTGACCAGACATTTCTGTCTTCCAAAGCCAGCGACTTTTGTAATGTGTTACAGTATTTAATGAGAAAAACGATACAGTCCTACATATTTCACAGCTGTTTGCGAGCAAAACAAGAAAGTTAATAAATTAAACAATTTTCACAAAACAAGAAAGTTTATAAATTAAAATATTTTCAAAACGAGAGTATCTACAAAGAGCTACACACTAAAGGAAACCGAAAGGAATTCAAACCACTAATTTGGAACTTAATTTGGGGTGTTACACACGACCATTTTTGGAACGAAAATCCCATTTGTTCCACATAATAAAAAATGTTTCAATTAATCATATCAAGTGTCGAATAAAGAAAATGTTTCTGTTTTATTTTATAACAAAAATATAACATTGAAAAAATGTTAAACAATAAGCAGTACATATTTTTCAAGTAAAATTAAATACAAAACAAACAAATCAAGAAAAATGTTTGGTCTAAAAATGTTTATGGGTCGTAATGTATTTTTTACTTAAAATGTTGCTGAATTATCATTGAATCCTTCAATTTTTCACTGATGAATGTCAAGGACAAGACAATTTTAAATTCATCAGTCATTTTGTATGGCAATTGACCTATCGCTCCTTTGGCACCTACATGTATGTAAAAAGAGGAATTGAAAATTTTCTTTCCATTTTACCATATATTGTAAGACATTTTTTCTTAAACATTTGCTTTTTGATTTGTTGGTAGATATTTGATATATTGGTCCGATTTTAATTAAACTAAAAACATTATGTAAGAATAGCAAGTGATCACGAAGAAATACATACATAGTTTCTTATCCTCTGGAAGCTATGGATATGTATTAAAGATCCAGTTCCAGTCTGCAAAGGTATACAAACTTTTAGAATGAAAATAATATGATGGTAATAAAATAAAAATATGCTTAAAGCTGCAAAGTTAAAATTTTTGATATTAATTTCCATTATTAATAATTTTATTATTAATATGTCTGCCCAGTTCCGACTTACATATGTGTGTATTTACGCCAATAAACCGAAATCATCTGGAATTTTTTATTCAGGTAGCTTAAAAACTGAGAACGGACATGGCTAGATCGACTCGACTTCTGGTACTGATTATCATCTGACTAAAATTATAATATACACTGCAAGGGTATACTATAGTATTAAAAAACATTAACTAGTTTTGTTCTGTGTTCTTTATTGTTGTTTTCACATTTGATAAAGTTGTAATAATGTCGATCCTATTCAGCTGATTGTTAGGCTGCATAGGTGTTAATAGTGTTTCGCTCAATTAAACTAAATATGTAAGTATGTCAACGTTGTATATAGTTTCTGCTTCTCGGTATATTTAGATTAAGTTTTCTAAGTGCATTTGTTTCGAGCAGCAGTTTGATCAATTAGTCTTTTTTCTTTTATACCAGTATAAACACTATTCTAAAGGTATTAAAGCTTAATTTTCAAGTGAACCAATTATCCTAGATACCTAATTAAAGAATTAAAAGGAAAACTAAATTGACCCTTGCCTATAATGAATAAATATAATATTATTTAATATTAATCAATGGGAAGGACTATTTTTTAGCCTTTCATATGACTTATTATTTTCATACAGTGTATAAACTTTAATTGCTTTCCTTGAATGCCAAATGTGTGTGCTAAAAAGTCTTACGTTAATGGATGCTGTAAGCCTTTTATCACTTTGAGATATAAATAGATGTACTTAGGTGCTAAAAATAATAATCAAATCAATAGAGTTTGTCCTTAATTCGATCAATTTACTTTTTTCTTTTAAACATATTTTTAGAAAACTGATACAGTAATTTAATACATAATCACCTTAAATGGAACTTAAGCATCAGTATTTGTTCCGATATGTTATGTAACTAACAAGAAGAAAATAAATTCAAACTAAAAAAATGAATAACAAAAAATAGTGTCTGACAAATGGGTGTATCTTTCTACATCCGTGCAAATAAATATTAGAGTTTAAATTAATTCCAGTAATATGGGAGACGAAGAAGATCCATGGGGTTTCGACGATGGCGGCGATGCTGAGCCAGCTGCAGCAGCTTCATCATCTAATCAGGGAACTCCTGCTCCACCCTCCAAGGCCCCGAGTGTTGCTTCCGACCATAAGTCTGACAGTGTGGCGGTCGGAGGGACTCCGGCAAACGAGGAGGCGGCTGCTGTAGAGGAAGAAATTGAGTTCAAAGCGCCTCCACCTCCGCCAGAAGACGATGGATACAGGAAACCAGTTCAATTGTACCGACACTGGGTCAGGTTAGTCTTATTCATCTTATGTCGTATGTCGTCCAATCTTGCGAACCTTATGCAATGCTCTATTTTCAGGCCGAAATTTCTCCAATACAAATATATGTACAACTACAGAACCAATTATTATGATGATGTGATTGACTATATTGATAAAAAACAAACTGGAGTGGCACGTGACATACCAAGACCCCAGACATGGGCGGAACGTGTCCTGCGCACTCGAAATATCAGGTAAAAATTCCATCACAAAATGATCCTCGGATATGCAGAGGAATAACTTTATTTTGGGCTTATTTTTTCTTCCATTTCTTATTTTTATATCAACAGCAGTGGCATTGATTCGTTTGCTCCATCGGCAAAAAGGGACAAGCAATTAATTCAAACATTGGCGGCCTCGATTAGAACTTATAATTACCACACCAAGGCATACATTAACCAAAGGTATGCTAGTGTGCTTTAGTGAGCACACCTTAATATAATAATAGAAACGTTTTAAAAGATGAACTCGTAGTCATAAAAAATATGATCTTTTTAAATGATCTATACATATAGTAAGTCATTACGCGTTTGTGTAGCTGCGCATCCCCACCCAATATTGACCTTATTTGAAGAATGAGGTTAATACTGCTCGGGAACACTATTCAAGAAACCAAGATTATATTTTGTATATTTTCTTACAAGCGTAATTTCTGTTAATATATTTTTATATATATTTACGTATATTAACACAACTTACCTCTTGATACATGGTATTTTAAGATTATTTACTTTATATCTAGCAAAGTAAATAAACTAAAAAACTGATTTATATTGGTAAGCTAAAATATAAAAACTGTGCAATAAATAAAAGTAAACAAATATCATTGTTTTATTATGGGATATCGTATTTTGTCATGTTTTCGAATGAAAGTAAGTTTAAAGTTTAAAGAGTTCCTTCCAAATATATTGAAAAATGTGTTTCTTTTCCTCAGCAGAAGACACATCCAACTTGGTGAATTGTCAGCCCAGAACTGCTATCTATTATGAGAGATTGATGCAATCCAAAGTCCAGAATCATATGAAAGCTACAAATACGAATAAACTCAGCCTAAAAAGTCATAATAGAATAAATTAACGCATTGTATGCTTGTGAATTAGTAGATCTAATAGGGTGGACAAGTTACAAACTGTATATCCTGATATAAATCAATCCAATATATAAAATATAAATAAAATAAAATTAGTCATCTGAAAATACCATAAATAAAACACTGAAGTAGTTAATTAATTTAATATGTAAAATATTTAATTCCAGTATCACTGGTTCACTCTAAACACAACAAAATTGTAGGTGCCTGTAGTTGCTATATCTTTTATTCAGATGCGAACCTTAAAACAGAGCACAATGATGGTTATGAGATCTGCAACATGCTTTATTTTTACGCTGTTTGTTGTTAAAATAGTTTGTACAGATTTATGGTAAGTAAGCCTTTTAAAAAAAGTAGTTATTTTACCTAAACAGTACTTATTTCCAGTTTAGATAATGATATACACGCCCTAATCCTTGCTAGAGGAGGAAGCAAGGGAATAAAACTAAAAAATCTTGCTCAAGTTGGCGGATACTCATTGTTGGCCCGTACAATTAAAACAATTAAAAGCTCTTCTTGTTTTCAACACGTATGGGTTTCGACAGATGATAAAAACATTGCCATTGAAGCACAAACGTGTAAGTGATTTAATAAAACAAAAAGGTAATTTTAAAGCCTCGGAAACAAAAACCTTTAGAATTGCTTTTGACTTATTAAGCTAAAAATCATGCTATTCAAGCATCTCATCTTAAATTTTAACAATTATATCTGATATGTATTTAAATGTTTTATTTTATAAATTGTATCGCAGTTGGTGCAATGGTACATCATCGTCCACATAAATTTGCAAGAGATGATACTCCGTCAATCGATGCCATTGCGGAGTTCTTAAATTCGCACAAAACCATTCAAGACTTTGCGCTCTTTCAATGTACATCAGTGTTTTTAAAATCTAATTACATTCAAGAGGCTGTGCAAAAATTCAAATCACACGACTGTGTTTTTGCCGCCAAAAGGTAAAACCCTTCTTATATTTAAAGAGTCTTACTGTCAATTTTTTTAATTTTAGATCACATTACCTTCGATGGAAAATGGTAGACGGTTTCTTGGTACCGGCAGAATTTAATTTAAATTCCAGACCAAGACGCCAGGACTGGAAGGGAGATATAGTCGAAACAGGAATGTTTTATTTTTCAAGAAGGCGGTTAGTTGACGTTGGTCTGCTACAAAATAACAGGTAACATTTTACATTGGCTAGTAAAAATATTTTAATTCAATACTATTATGCTATTTTAGATGCTCTATTGTGGAAATTGATGCCAATGATGGTCTCGAGATTGACTCAAGCCACGACCTCTCGATGGCAAAATACATTTTAAGTAGTAGAACGAAAATTGATTTATAAAATGGTTTACAATAATCGAGAGGTTAGGGTAATTAATTTTAGGTAAAGGACTAACTAATGTAAATTTTGAGTTAATATTATTTGGTTATGTATGTTATAAAAATTATCAAATGGTAAGAGCTACTTTAGTTTTGTTAATACTAGAAATCACTTTATTGCTTAGCATATTATTTACTTTGGTGCCATTATCACCGATGTATAGCGACTGATTCGTCTGGTCAGGAGCCGTGGAACCATGGCAGTAGCGGTGGGTCTGAGGATCAGGCAAGTTCGTCCAGAGCGAGCTGCATACAATGCAGTGGTATTGAAATTTCTTTTGATATGCGATGCACCCCCATAAGCTCGAGGTGTTTCCGTAGACGATTTCTTCTTGGTGAGATGCTCATGATGATCTTGATCCCCTGATAAAGACTGCGCTCTGGATGAGGGAGATACCTGCGGTACAAAGCGATCTCGGTTGAATCCTTCATCTCCGCTGACTTCCGACCCCATTCCATTCTTGGGTTGCTGCATCAAGCAACAATCGCATTGGGTCTGACGCCTCAGTTGTGGCAATTGCCCCATCTGCAGTTTGTACTGCTGTCCCATCTGCAATGGAAACTGCCGTCCCATCTGCAATGGGTACTGCTGGTGGTTGTTCACGAACCCTGTCCGCTGGCAGTGTGGGTTGTGATGGACGTTCATGGGGCAGTGGCCTAGACAGGGGCTTATGCCAGGATGAAAGCTGCCGCCGGGCGCAAAGCCAGTTGTCGATAGGACTGGTTGAAATAAGTGATGACTGATCTGGTTGGCCAAGACCATGCCACACCTGTTGTAGTGCCCGGAGAATCCCAGCGACGACTGGTGTTGCGGACTCGATACTGGCCAGCAGGATATGGAGCGGCTGCAGCAGCAATAGGGGTATCCGTAGGAGGTCAGCAGGCAGGAGCCCAGATTCTGCGGCGCCGCAAGCCTCGGGAGCAGCAGGTTTTCTTTGGCATTTGGCAGGCTTGTGGAGGCCTTGGCAGACAGCAATTGCTGGTGCAGAAGGAACAGCTTGAAGCGTTGCTCGTTGCTGCACTCGGCAATTGCTGGCAAGGGGCCACAGAGGTGCCACACCTAGAACCCGCCTGAGGCACGGGCGTGAAGCTGATCGTCACATAAGGCGCAGTGCTGGTGGTTGTGTTCTGCTGTTTAATTTCTGTTTTATGTACCTGGGCTTGGAGACTGATAACGTTAGAACCTTCCTCTTCCTTTCGGGTTTCTTCAGCTAATTGGGTTTGTTTGGCAATTGCAGGGTACTGTATGAGAGGCCCTGGAGTTGGTACGTCCGTTGGATGCGAGAGATTTCGATTTGTTGGTACATCATTCCCTAAGAAGGTATAAATATTTGTAATATCCTGGTATAAAGCTAATTAAGGTATAAAGATATCTCAAGAAACTGTACTTAAGCATTTTTCTACCATTACCGTCATGACCGCTGTTATTCCTTGAAGCCAAATCCACTTGGCAGCACATCTCGTCCGTCTGACATCCAGCATTAGAGCTAATCCCCGGGAGCTGGGTGTGAGAGCTTCCACTTTGGCTCAAGTCAAAATCATCCACATTCTCCTCAGTATAATTTCGGGTGGAGGAGTCCTTTAAAACCACAAAGGAGGGCCTATTTACCAGTACCCTGTTACCGATCGTTATGAACCGTGGCGGACTCCCGGCGTTCTGAATTTCATCTAGCCTTTGAATGTTCATTTTAATTTTGTCCATACTCAAGGCTGCTCTATTTTCCCCGGACCCCACGTGGAGGTCATTGGTTTCATTGGAATCCTGCCTGAGCGATGCCATGCAGGCGCTGGGATTCTTCAGTATCGTCTTGATCTTCGGGGGACTTATACTGGTATCATTCTTTTTGGAACTACTTTGACCATCTTTGTCCACGGTGATCAGAAAGCAGCGCAAGTCCTCGTTGGCTTGAAATTCCTTTGAAGATTTTGCGTTGTTCTGAGCAACCATCGTGTCCAACTTCTATTTGCCTTGAGTCTGGCAAATTTTCATTCAATTGATGTTGTCCTTTTCAGAGCATTTTAGATGATTTTGGTAGCATAAATTTTGAAATAAATTTTGTCAATGCCCTATCGATGTGAGTTTCTTGTAAAAACTTGTAACTTGTTCAGTTCTAAGATTTTATTTATTTAGGTATAATTTTGCAAAAACAAAATTAAAATATGCGAAGCCGGTTGGTTTCTCATGATGATAAAATTTCTGGGATAGGAAACTTGGTTAACTATCGTTTCAATGTGAGAGCATACATTATGAGATATAGACTCATTTTCAACCAAACAACTAATAATCAAATTGTCAAAAAATATATATTTCTTTGGCTTTGCATAAGCAAAAATGATTGTTTAAAGCAGAAATACTTAAGATACAATTTCAAAAACATTTATTGATGAATTATTACCTTAAAGGTGTGATTTTTCAAACTCTAATTAACTGTTGTCATTAAGGTAAATTGTTCTTTGTAAGACATATTACCTTAAGTTATCTAACAGATAAATTTTTAATTAAAGCAAATACCTCAATATATGTATGTATGTAGCAATCCAATGTTGTTCACTCAGATAGACATTTCAACACAATCAGTCAGACTATAATGTACAAAATTTTAAAGTCGGATTGTTGAAGATGTTCTGCACGGAGAGCTGTGAGCATGGCTGCAATGCACCAACTTCGGGAAAACTAATTTCCGGAAATGGTGCTCCATCCCAGACCCAGCAGCTAGGCCAGCAGCAATTCAGCATGTGCTATGCTCCACTGTCGATGCAGCCGCAGGAGCTGGGTGCCAAGTGCGAGACGGAGCCGCCCAGGGTGGGAATGTGCCTGGTCACCGAAGGACCCGAGGGTCTCAGGTAGGATTATGATGCTGATGCATCTAGCCAATGTATACCGAAAAGTGTGCACATTTCACTACAATTACCTTTGCAGCATTGACTGCAATGTGCCCTTGCCCAACTCATTCAATTTGGACGAATACAGGAAGCAAATGGTCTGCTCCTGTGGTCCGTCAGTGAATGGTAATGGCTACATTGATGGCTTCTGTCTACCGCCGCCACCAGCAACTGCTGCTCTCAACTCTATCCAAAATCCGGCCTGCAGTTTCCAGTGTCAGTGTTGTCCCGTCGAAGCAGCCTCTTCCTCGGGATTCGATACGCGATCGATGCAGGCCACAACAGCTCCAGTTTTAGGAGCGTGTTCCCTGCCCAGTCTTCCGGCGAGGACTTCCAGACCAGAGCAGACGATGACGGTGACCCAGAAGGCGCCAGAATCAGCCGTAGGGCAGCAGATCTTTTATTTGGCTGCCCCTTCCTCATCCACACTTGATACAGAAGGCAGTTGCTATCCGCCAGACCAGTTACCTGCTTACCTATATAGCATGATTCCGGTGCAGTGTATGTCCCCCATCTGGAGTCCGCAGGGCATCAGCCTGGTGCCAGTGGGTCTGCCAGTGCCCCAGCCGCAGCTTCTGCCGCAGCAGCAGCTTGTGACGAATCCTGTACAGAATTCGCAGCTGCCGTCGCAGCAGATGGTGCGCTACGACATATCCCTTCCCCGCCTGTTGGCGGAGCTCCGACAAGAGCGGGGCAGACCCTGTTGCGAGTCCTCGACTCCGGCTCCCCTGTCCTTCCAGCTGTATGCACCCGCTCACGCGGTGGCGATCTACGACCCGCCAGTCGCCGCTGTTAATCCAAGTGTGGTCAAGAGGGACGTTCCTGCTGCAACTCCTTCACCCGATGCGATGTCAATTCCCACTGCCTCGCTATCACCATCCTCATCACCGCCAGGCCCATCGCCATCGGCACCAGACCCCACCCGATCGGCCAAGGCCCAGTCGGATAACCCGAAGTGCAGCCGTTCCTGCCAGCGCAGCAAAGATCAGTGGGACAGCAGTGGAGCTGGAAACGTGTGCATGAAATGTGGCAATTGCTGGCACTGCCCCCGATGCAGTTGCTCCAACTGCTTCTGGCATCCCGGCCTGGTGCGTGCCCCACCAAGGGATAGTAGATAGTATCGGCAAATATCAAATCTTGGGAGTACATATAGAACAACAACAAAGTTTTAATTGATTATTAAATAGTATTTACTTAAAAAATACTTTAACGAAAGTGAACCATAGTAGAGTAGTTCATAAAGGTGTGAAAAGATAAAATGTTAAGTGTATTCTGAAGGAAGAATTTGGGAACTAAAAACAAGGCATTTTAATCAGATTGAATATTATAAATAGAATAGGGACTTTTAACGCCCATTCAATTCAAAGCAGTTTTGTACAATTTTATTATATTTATTTATATATGTTACACATGTATACATATACCTCTTGTAGAAGAAAAAACAGACCTCAAGGGACCAATTTTATTTGTCATTAACATTTTTAAGTCGTCAAAAGTTTGCTTTTGAAATCGTCAGACTAAAATCACAAAAGAGCTGAGCAATTCAGACATTTCAAAGATGCTTCTTCACATACTTTTTGTCTTTAGGCACGTCTATTCATATAGTTTGCAACATAATTGGCCATAACAGTCGTGATTTCTCGGTCATGGCTGGTTTCCGCTGTTGGATGGATATGTGGGTTCCCCGGAAACTGTAAGTACTCGGCTGGGGGTGGTGCACTGGGTGGAGGTGGTGCCCTGACTGGGACGGTATATGGCTCCGAGCGATGGTCTGTGGTAAGGCGGCGATGTCGAATTTTTCTGGACGATAAAGGGTTCTCGCTTAGGGTCCGGGTGCTGGACGGGCAGTACGGCGGTGGTGGCAGCAAGACTGGGCGTGACATTTCAACTGAGGGCCTGACCGTTCCAGAGTGGGATTCTGCAGGATTTTGTGGCAACTGGTTGTGATAGGGTTGCAATCGATGTTGATTCACATTCGATTCCTGGTAGGCAGGTGAATATACATAGGCTGAAGGATCGTACAGCATTGAATGTTGCTGGTTCACGATTTGTTGGTGCTGCGCGAATGGCTCATGGTTTGGCTGTGCTTGAGATTGAATAAATTGGCAGTGAGGTGCCTCGACCTTCTGGTTGTGCTGCTGATGATGCAGGAAAAGAGGTTGCTGATGTTGGGGTTGTGCCTGTTGTGTTATCAATTGTTGTCGCTGCATTTGCAATTGCTGTTGATTCTGCTGGTGCTGCCAGGACCAGGCCAAGGCCTTTTCCTTCTGCTGCCGCTGCTGATCGGCCATTCTTAGCTCCAGGGTTTTAAGATCGGATCTCATTTGCCGCAGCAGCTGTTCCTTGTCTGATCTCAGCTTCTCCTCCAGCTTCCTACTTTGGTCCATTTTGAGCAGGAACATGCGCTTCTCCTCCGCATGCCGGCGTTCGCAGGCGAGTCGCTCATCTTGGATTTTCTTGAGGGATTTGCCATAATGATGCAGTTGCTCCTCCTCGCGGCACTTGATACGCTGGTACATTAACCTCATTTCCTGTACCTTGTTTTCTATCTTGTACTGTTGTTGATGGTAGAGGATGAGCTGCTGCTGCTGCTGTTGTTGTTGCTGGTACTGCTGCGTGTAAAGGTATTGCTGCTGCTGCAACTGATGCTGATGCTGATGCAACTGTTGCTCGTGGAAGGCTTGGTCAGCAACATTTGTGGGGTTCCACTGGCGGTCTACTTCGGAGGGAAATGTCTCAGGAAATTGGGGTTGCCTCAGGTTTTGGTTAATACGATCGTCGGCATTGTTGTTGCAACTGCTGGATTGTAGTACTTCCTCGCCAAATGTGGCGGGCTGGACAATGTGATGCATTAGTTGCTGCCGAAGCACCGAGTTTGTCGATTGCCCTACCAGGCCAGGAGACCTGGGTGCTGCTTCAGTGGAGTTTTCGGCGGGTACTTCAGCCACCACAATTTGTGGTGGCTGTTGAAGCTGCATTTGAAGCGTGGCCTCGCAATGAGGTAAGTAAATGATTGTCGCTGTGTTCTGAAACTGGGATTGCAGTGAGTTATTCTGTTCACTTGGCAACTCGGGTTTCATATCCTGCTCCTGGACATCCTCCACATACTCTGTCATTTGATTGCAGTCAGTACTAACTTCCATGAAGTTGCCATTCTGTGGAAACTCACTGTAGCTCTCTGGAACTTCCGCCTCCATTTCGATTTTGCATGCCACCTGGTCTGGCTTGTGCCACCGCAAATAGGGATAGTGCTGTAGTCTTGAGGTGTTTGCCATTATGACACTTTGGCGCTGGCTTTGAAGAATCTTTCGGTTCATTTCCTCCAGCGCCTCTTTTTCTTCGACTTCCTGCTTCACCAAATCAAACAATATATTGCTGATTTCCTCATCGTCGGGTAGTATGTTCTTAACTGCTTCGTCCACCTCCAAGTTGGGCATGTTCTGGGACGAATCGCTTGGATCTTGAAATTGCTCATGTACCTCATCAATGGTTTCCTCCTCTTTTTGATAGCCACATTCTCCTCTCCCATTTGCGATCCATCCAACGCCTGTTCGCAGTTCGGCTGATCAATAGCTCGAGCTTTCTTCATCTGCTCTGCCACGAATCGTGGACGTCCTGATCCCACAGGAAACTTGAGCATTCGTAGGTGATAGTCCCGGTTGTTGGTGTATCTGCTCAGGGTTCGTGTTCGCTGCTGAAGTTCACTGCGGGCCAACTCCTTGGGTATGAAAAGCAGCTCATTGGAGTAGATGCTCGCCCTACGCTTCTTGGTTTCTGCTCTAAATATAGTTATATTTACAATATTATTTCTTTATCAATTTATTAAAGGTTGGGAAAACTTACATGGATAGCGAATGTCGCTCTTCCAGAACGAGGGGTCTGTTTATATCTTCACCCGAAGTTTCATTCTTCTCAGGATTCTTTGGCTCAGTGCAGTTTTGGTTTTGTTCTTTCACGTCTGCTTCCTTTTCTTCTTTCAGCAACTTGGGAACCAAGTCGTTATTCTCACTTCCACCAGAAATATGCTCCTTTTTAGTGTTCAGTCCTTGTGCGGAATGCAGTGCACTTTATACAAAAAATATCAACTATGAAAAATACGTTTCAATTATGAATTTTACGTTGCAGCCATACCCGTCGATTGCCGGCTGGTGTTCACTCATCGGTCGAGACTCAGAATCGGACAAAACCTCGGATTCTGATTCGGACACGACCATGTCGTGCAAAGAACTGCCGGTGGGCAGTCTTTCCTTCCCTTATTATAGGTGAAATGTGTATACAAAAGCCTAGTTACTGGCTGGCTGTGGTATCGTGTGGCATGTCGTTTAGTCTTACGGCCTGCAGGTTATCGGGTGTACTTACGGCTCTCTGTAAATATAAAGTTAAATAGAAAATTAAGTTTACATTAAAAAAGTTCGCAATAAGCGTTTGAAGATCCTAAAGAAATAGAATCTTATGAGATGGTGTCTCATTCGGTATATAAAAAAGCCAGCAACTGTCCGTGGTCTGGTCTGTAGAAATTTCTTCGTCAATCATAGTTAAAACCCTTTGTCTTTACGTTGCTTAAAATATATGTTTGTTCAGTTTATTCAACTCAGATTTTAATAGACAACATTAGGAATATGTTTTAGTATTTAAAGTCAGGAAGAGGGTATTGGACTTAAATTTGTTAAATTTATTCTAATATCGCACACACAAATACTAAAAAAGCAAAGGACAAAAACAGTTCTGAAGTTTTATATATAAAAACAACAGATATAAGGGGAGCACAAGGGTTTTGAAATCTTTTAAAAACTATTTAAAACAATGCTAAAAATGTGTCATCGTAATTGTAATCGGTAGAAACATTTTTAATGCAAGCTTCAAGTTAAATGATTTTTTTTTGCAATAAAAATTGATAACCAAAAAAAAAAAAAGACGGTTAATAAGATGATAGACAACATAAACATTAAGGTGTAAGATGTATAAATCTTCTGTTAATCTTCCACTCGCATAAGGTAGTTAGTTCTTATATTTGTCTGTTTTTATTTGATTTGACAATTTATTTGTCGTTCCTCATTATTGTTTTTAATGGATTTAAGTTACTAATATACAAAAACAACAAAATGATTGCTTTCATATTAGATAATGCATCCTTACTCATTGTCTGGATAAGGCCAAGGCAAGTCGAATTTTCTGATATCAAAGCCCAGCATAATTTGAATTTATTTGTAAACACGAATCAAACCAATAACAAACAAACTTCCATTAGTCAAAAACTCATTTCCCAGGTTTCCCTAGGGTTTCGATTTCGCCCTGGTAGGTTCGCCGGCGTCCCGACGAAATCCAATACCGATGAAGAGCCGACCGAGTGTCGAGTTGCACATCCGAAAAGTGAATGAATGCAAATGAAATTTGCTAATAATACGAGAATTACATGGGCCGCTAGGCGATAACAGCGGCGGCGGCCCCACAAGCTCCTGCCCGGCAATTATGGGGCATTGAAGGGGCTGAAAGAGCGCTGACCGCCGCTTCTCCCAATAGATATCGCCGGGCAGATATAACCAAACCACCTAACCTAAACCTGAATCTAAATTCACCCTCCCGCATAAGCTGGGCGAACCTGGTGAACGCACTAAGGACACGTCAGCGTCGCTCATGTGACGTGGCCACGTACAATTCCTTCACCTATAATTGGAATTGTAACTTTATTTTTATACCCCAGGTTACCTGAAAAGCCCCTGCATATCGTAAAGATGTATTAGTGGACAGGGCGGTTGAATGAGACACTGTCTTGGCTATTAATTACCCCTATCAAAGTCATATGACCTTGAGCATAGTTATTATGGTATATAGTAGTTTTGAAAGATGAATATTGTAAATTCTAGTTCCTTATTTTAGGCTATCCAAAAGATATTTAACTAGTATTTCTGTCTGTTTGTCCTGATAGACCCTATGATTAGAAATTTAACTTTAAAACAATTTTTTATTATTTGTATTACAAATTAAATTAATTACCTATATATTTAGAAGCCAGTGATGTAAAATAAAAAGTCAAGCTAAAACAATAACTCTAGTAGCCTAGAAGATTTGAAATTTTTTTCCAAATTTAATAATTTTATATTAATGCACATAAAAACAGAATATTATGTTTAAATATTAAGATAAGCGGATTTTTAAAAACACTATTTGAGATAAACTTTTTCATCCGGTCTCTATTTTCATTTTAAAAGATCACAACAGACAAAATTATGATTTCAAATTATACACCTCGCGCGCCTTTAGTTCTTCTGAACCGATTAGCTGGTTCGTTTTATCGATAAAACCACCACCGTGGTAAAGCAGCTATCGAATTTTTGCCATCAACAGAAATACGTACAAATCAGCTGCCAAAATATCTAAAAATTTGTTTTCTTTTTTGACATTGCATTTACTCTGAGATGGATAAACTAACGACAATTAGTGCAACGCTATTCATGGCCGCCGATGTGTTTGCGATCGTGAGCCTGGCCCTGCCAGATTGGATAATCACGGAGTCCGGAACTGGTAAAAACACGGAAGTGTCCTAAACAATGACCGTTGGCATTTACCAGTTGTTTATTTTTTTTTTTGCAGGTGACATCCGTCTGGGCCTCATGTGGACCTGCATGACTCTGTATAACCGGCCACAGGTGTGCTACACCCCCGATCTGCAGCCAGAGTGGCTAGTTGCCCTGATTTGCATATTCATGGGCTGCATATGCGTGACTACTACCGTGATACTTCTGGCTTCTTCCTCCTGCAATCGGAACGTGATCTCCTACGCTCGCTGGGTGGGATTCACAGCCATGGTGCTGTTCTGCATGGCGGCGGTCGTCTTCCCGCTGGGCTTCCACATCGAGGAGATCGGCGGGCAGGCCTACCAGCTGCCCAATACCTTTAAGATCGGAATCTCCTACATCATGTTCGTGCTGGCCCTGTGGATTACCGTGGTTTCGGAGCTGTTCGCCGGAAAGGTCTGCCTACCGCACTTCTAGAGGCGCGAGGACGGCATCTCTGGCTTCCTGATATCGTTTGCAGTTTGCTCTGTGATTTGTTATACCTTCTGTTTCTCCCTGATTTCCCTCGCCTTGGATTCTCTAGAGTCCAAGCCCGACTCGAAGTCCCCCTAGCGTTTAAGAGCTTTTAGTTGTAGCGCTCCAATAGAAACGACTCATATCTGGGATGAGGATATATGCTTGACACCTGTTTATCCCGAATCTCCTTAGTTCTTAAAACGAAACAAATTTCTCAATTTCTGACATTATAAAACATCTTGTATCCTATCCAACCAGGAAGATTAGAAATAGCCGATGAAGATTTATGTCACCTTTTAGAGATTTTCACTTCCTCAGAACTCGTTCTAACCAAATAGTACAATTTTGTTTACATTAATATGTATAGCAAGAGCGATATAGCATCCAATTTAAAGTGTCCCTAGATTTTAAGACCCTTACTTTATGTTTTATTAGTATTCAGTTTTATTTTTTAACAGGGTACACTCACTAAAACATAGGCAATCGTTAGTAAAACCTTCCTAAGCTTTCTAACACTTTTTTTAAATGGTTGCGATAATTTAGATTGGTATAAGCTCAACTTTTATTTAAGGTTTTATATTCATGAAATAAGGTTTTATATTCATGAAAAATATATAACTTAAGACTTAAACGTAAACGCCAAGCTAATACACACAATTTCTTGCACCTGCTTTTCATATTTTGGAAGTACTGAACTTGAATTATTTGGAAATATCGATGTGGAAAAACACTTAAAAATTTTTAAGCTAAGACACGTCACGACATCTTTGAACACTGACACTTGCAAGGCCGCGACGGCAACTGAAAGGCAAAACAGAGCCAAGTAGGAAACTCGGCAGAGACTCGGGGTTTGCGCCTGCGTCTGGCTTATGTGCACATGGCTATCCGAGATCCGAGAATGCTGACCAAGCTCCTGGGCAAAGAAATTCTAACAAGGGCTGCGATATACATATGAATGTATATAATGTGAAGCGAAGCGGGTAGAGAACATTGCTGACACCATCAAACATTAAAGATCGCGGGCCGAGAACGATTTCGGTTTGCGTTGCTTACAGAATTCTGTTTGTAAACTGAGAACCACCGAAACACTTAAACATACTTCTCCCTTTCTCCAGACGACCAAATAATAAAAGTCCTCTAAATAATTAAAGAAATGCAACTTGATATGGTCGAAACTAATGGAGGAGAATTTTCATGTATACATAAAGACCACACATTATTTATTTGTGAAACCAAAAACATTTATATTAAATATATATATGTGTATATAACCATATATAATATATCGATCCGTATAAATATAGCAAATATGGAATTTCTATGTTTTAAAGATTAATTGATGGAAGGCTCATAATCTAATTAACCAATAATACATCACAAATCTGTGGTTCGACTGTAATTGTGTTTTATGAATGTTTGATGTAAAATTTACGAATTTAAGATTTTATGAAATAATCTTCCTAAAATAAAAATAATAACTTATTTATTTATTTTAATTAAATTTCAAATTGACTTTAAAATAAACAAATATAATCTCAAACAAGAAAGAAGTAAATTTTCTGCTTTTTGCAGTTAGTAATTGGATCAAAGCCGAATTGAAATTGACAAGTAGAAAATACTTTAATTTTAACTTTTATTAAGTTAAAATATCAGCATACTGAATCTTATACAAAGCTTATCATTTTTTTTAAATTTTAATTTTAATGTAAAACCTCTTTAAAATTCTGAAAATTGAAATTTTTTCAACATTTGTATCATTAATGATTAATAAATAAGGGAAGTAATTTAGAAATCATCAGAATTTAAACATTTTGACTATAATGTAACTTACCCCTTAGAAACTTGTGACCTAATTATAATACCGTAAAATGGTATCACATTTAACAATTATTTAACAATATTATTGATGTCGAAACAAATTATTTTTATATTTATTTATTAATTTTATGATGCTTATTTATTTAAATTGGGATTGGTATTCTGGGATAAAATGGAATTTTATTAACCCTGTATAATATAATCGAAGAAGACTGCTTTAAAAGTTGCACCCATATATCTACATAGATATGACCCAGATATCTCTTGGCTGGATCGCCTCGGTTGCTGATGCTGACTTAGAATACATAAAATCACAACACCATCTGTAAGTTTAAAAATTCAAAGAATAAAAAATACGCCAAAGTAATCTGATTTAATCATTGTAATATCTTATTTATTTCCTTTATTTAACATTTAATATTCAATTGAATCGTTTAATAATATCAAATATTGTTCATTGAAACTACTTTTAAAGCTCCTGCAGCGTTGAGGGTTCAGGGTCTGTTTGTAAACATTTCATTTAAATATTGTGTTGTATTGAAAAACAGTGTCAAAATATTGATAGTTCGATTGAAATCCATCGTCAAAGCAGGTCAGTTTTCGTAGAGGAGGTATTGTGTAGATTGTTGGGATATGTAAGGTACACTGGATGCTGTTGTTGAGCTTTGATTTCTCTTAATAAGTAGTTCGCTTTGGTGGCTTCTCTCTTATATAGTTATATACACACATACATACATATATCAAAATATGATGCCATGAATAGTTTAGTAACAGTAAAAAACGTTTGAGTAAAAAAATATATAGAGTTTTAATTGATTCTTCTCAAAGAATTTAACTAGTGTTGCTTGAAGAAATAGTAGTACAATTCTAAAGCATTAACTAAGACTGTGCCTAAATGGGGGAGGGTAAGGGTAGTAAAAACATGTATGTATGTAAGTAAATTACTTTTAAAATTAAATTGACAGCCTCGGATTAAATTTAAAAAACAGGGCGGCGAGTAACAAACATATATGTTCTTGGCTGTATTTAAATGTTGGTTAATTTTTGGACTAGGGTGGGCTAAATTGCATTTCATTGTCTACCATATACATATTTAATTCGAATCGTATATAATTATTCGCTGTTTAAGTGATGGCTACGCATAAGATTAGCTAACAAATTGTACGAAATAGTCAATAACATTTATATTCTACTAACTAACTAAAAACAAACCTTTGCTAACAAATACCTAACATGTGCGTTTGTGTGATGAGCAACGTATTTTAAATGCTTTCAAATTCATTACAACTAAATGAAAAGCTCAAAATAAATAAGAAGATGCTTCGAAGTGACTTGTGGCCTACGCTTGGTGTACATGATCATAAATATCCATTAAATAGTATCAACAGCAATTGGATAATTTACAATTTCCCATCGAATGGTGTCTTTACAAAGTAGGTGACTAGATTGCCCTTGCCCTTGACATAGGTCAGGCCTCGGCACTCGCATTCGTAGCCGGCGGCCATTAATATTTTCGCCGTATTTTCCGTCGTCTGTAAAGAGAAAACAAAAGTGGATGAGTGTATGATAACAAATTGTTTAAAAGGTTGTATAATTTTTCATTTCCGAAATCTTCAAACAAAACCTAATTCTGCGATACAAATAAACCTTACAAAATTTGATTGATGATTGACTTTTACTGAAGAGTATTCAAACAACTTTACTGCACAATTATGAATTATAAAAATCTAAAGTTAAACTATAGTATACAAAAATCGGAAAGTAACCGAAAATAACTTTAACATTTTAGCTCACTTTATTGTATTTATATTTTCTTTGTATATGCTTATTTTGTACCAACTTGTTTAGATGAAATATATTGTAATATTAATTATATTGTAATATTAAATTCTTTTTACATAAAATTAATCATTGTTTACTTTCATTATTTTTCATTTACCCATGTACTTATTTTACTTAGTCAGCAAAAATCGATTGAAAACTTATATCTTAACATATTTTAAATATTTAAATCGGTCCTACAGAGGTAAATTTTCAATTTTGGCAAGCTTAAAAGTTGTAGGAAAAATAATATTTGAGACACTCCTTGATTTTTCCAGTCTTTCCACTCACCTGTAGCCGTCCCATCACGCCGCAGGAGTCCATGCGTGAGGCCACATTGACTGTGTTGCTCCAGATATCGTATTGTGGCTTTTGAGCTCCAATCACGCCGGCAATCACCGGACCGTGATTGAGCCCGATGCGGAGGCGGAAGCGTTGGAACGACTCCCGATTAATCGAATCCAATATGGACATCAAAGCAATCGCAAACTCGACCAGTATGACCACGTTGTGCTCCTCCGTGCGCTTCTCGTCCTGCGGACAGAAAGAACATCGAGAATTGCGTTAGTCCCGATACCATTTAGTCCTTATTTCCCCGCTTCCTAGAAACCAATTGTGCCAGCTAATCCGAGTCCCAATCCTCCCACCGTTCGACCCTCATTTGACGACCCTTTTTTTTATCGCTCTTCCTCCGACCTTTGTTGGGCCAATGTGATTTGATTTCCCCTTTGTTTGGTAGTTGTAAAAATTTAATTAAAGTGCTAAGCAGCGATTAAAAGGCATTTGAACAGTAAATAACATTCGGTCGATTGGGATTTTGCTGGGTAATTTATAGGGGGAAGAGGTTGGAGTTTAAGTTGAATTCCGAAATTTTTATATTGGGTCGAATTGGGGAGCGTTTAAATTCAAGCTGTTAGATTCCGCTTGATAATGTTAGCTAATTTATCATCACCTTTTGAGAATGTGACGACTTTTAGGCATTCACTTACCGCAAAACTACGAGACTAGATTGGGCAACCGAGTCAGGATTTGTCAATGTTGTTATTTACAGGATTAGTTTAATGAAAGCATTGAAGAAACAGGCATTAGACAAGATAGAAACAGACAAAGAGCGCTGGATAGTTTCCAAGGATCTAAACTTACCGTAGCGCCATCTTCCTTGCCTGGCCTCAAGCCCGAGGCACACATGTAGGTGCTGGCTATGGTCTTTATCTTCTCGATTCCACTGAACTTGGGCTTCAACAGCAACTACATATGAAGTTTCGTTTTAATTTTCTTAATAATTTTAAATATAAGTTAATGCTTACCTTATCGAAATCACAAATAATCTCATTTAACAGACGCAGGCACTCCAAACCCTGCTTGTTCACATCCGTCTCGTCGTAGAACTCCTTGTAGTTGGGAATGGAGGCGAACATCACGGCCACGCACGAGTAGCTCTCGTGGTAGAGCTCCGTGGAGCGTTCCAGATGCAGGAAATGGGTGGCCACGTGGGCCGGCAGGATGTTCTCCAGCAGAATCTGCAAATCGGTTTTAATTAACATCGAATTGCTTTTATTGGCCACAAAGTGGATCTTGCCTTGTTAATGCCCCGCATGGTCTCCACTTCCTCCTGTTCGACCTTCAGCTTGGCCTTCCACAGGAAGTCCGTGCGAGCCACATACTCGCCCTGGCGATCCAGAGTGTGCAGCACCAGAATGATCACCAGGAGCAGCAGAAAGCCCTTAATCTCGAGGGGTAAGCTACAGGAGATATAGGATGAAATTAGCAACGATTGTTCGGCTCCGTCTTCTTTATAGTTAATTAGATTTGTCACTCACCCGTGTTCGATGTTTGTATTGTATTTGTCATTGTATTTCTGAAAGAGATCGCTGTAACCGAGCACTGTAACCTGTCCGATGAGGGCCACCAACATGGCAATCAGCTTGAGTATAAATCCAGATCGCAAGAAAGCGGATATCGCCGCCAGACTGATGGCGCAGCAATAGAGAAACACGGGGGCAATGGGAATGGCACGGCCTATTTCCCAAGGTGGCATATCCTCAAACAGGGTGGCATTGTTGAATTCACTCGATGAATTGCTGGCTAAGTCGGTGGCATTGGTGGGCTCAACGTGATCCTGCTCGGGAGTAGTGAAGTAGATCTGAAGGATAAATTTAAAGATTAGTTTCTGTTTCATTAGGGAACTACATCTTTCTCATGAAGCATATTTGTATGACCTTTTATTAGCTCATGGTATTAATTTATTTATTACATTTTCAATTAAAAAATATATAGAAAAGTGCACTTACCACACTGAACACAGCACAGGACGAAATGAGGATGTTGACTATGACGAACATGGCCAGTCGGAGGTAGCGACTGCTGGCCACCACCTGTCCGGGTCCGTTACGCTCCGTCGACGAGGCGTGGACATCCGGCACGGACATGTTGCTCAGATAGAGGAACAGGGCCAGGGACACGAAGCTGGCCAAGAGGGAGCCGAGCAGGACCAGGTTCCTGCTTTCCACGGCACACAGAGGCACAGAGACACAGGATGGGAAGAAGGGCCAAGGGTGAGTCTACGGGCTCGTTAATGCAAGTTGATCTCACCTACAATTCGATTACAATCAGC